AGGGTGGCTGGGCTCAGCCTTAGAGATAGGGTGAGGAGCTCGGATATTTGGGAGAGACTCGGAGTAGAACCGCTGCTCCTCCGGATCGAAAGGAGCCACTTGAGGTGGTTTGGGCATCTGGTCAGGATGCCTCCTGGTCGCCTCCCTGGGGAGGTGTTTCGGGCATGTCCTGCCGGCAGAAGGCCCCCGGGTCGACCCAGGACACGTTGGAGAGGTTACATCTCCAATCTGGTCCGGGAACGCCTTGGGGTCCTGCCGGAGGAGCTGGTGGAGAGGATGGTCTGGAGCTCCCTAGTTGGGATTCTGCCCCCGCGACCCGGACCCTGATAAGTGGGGGAAGACGAAGACGACGAGACGATGACTTGGAATGGAGGAAACAGAACTCCTAAAAGCTATAAAGTGTAATTTTCTGATGTGTTAAAAAGCACACAGCTAGTTCATGCTGCACTGTAAAATAACAAGCTGGACACTTGGTTAATTCATCTGAGAAAGTTCAGTCATTTCCATTATGAACTCTTCAATATGAATGAGAGCCAGAAGACTTTAATCAAAAGTGTCTAAAATGTACTGTTTTCTAAATGTTGAAATATCTTTGATCAGATTGCTATAAGAGCACCGAAAGGAGAGAACAGACTAGTGTTTATGAAAGCAGGAGACAAATCCTTCTAGGATTTACTTTAAAGCGATTAAACATGCTTAGAAGCCAAAATGAATTAAACTATATAACCCACACCCTGTTGAGTGTTTTCTCTTACCACACAAAATGAAATGATTGAAGTCGTTATTTCTGTTTGAAGAAAAAGAGTCAGGGTGTGTTGTAACAAATGTGATGAGATGGGAAAATAATGTGAAGTTGATGCCTCGCTGGTGTTGAATTTTGGGTAATTAGGTTTGATTACGCCTCAGATCGTGAGAATCGAGCTATCACCGATGTGTTATTTGCGACCAGAAAAACTTCAGTGTTGTTTCCTCTCCTCACAGTTTAGAAACTGAAACTGGCTTCTACTCTGAAGAAAATTATGTATCTGTCAGCTTACAGGTAAAATAAAATCATCTCCAAGATCATTGCAGTGACATTAACAATGCATTTGACTTTTAAAAATGAAATTTACTTCTTAAAATAAAAAGTTCTGTAATTTTTTAGAGCAGGTAGCTAGAATCTAATACCAGTCTCATCAAGATTTTAAACACATCTGTGGCTGCAAAACCTTTGTGCATCTACTCTGCTCAGTCACTAATTTTAACAACTTGCAGGTATCTTGGAAGATTTAGTTTCAATTTTTTGAAAACAATTGTAGCGATAACTATAGATTTATATCTATATTTCAAATGTGGCGTAGATTTAGCTTGTTTATAATCTTATATTAATTAATCGGGGCACCACCAGTTTTCGGAACTGGACCGTTGGATTTAATATCTATATCTTCGCAATGTAATCAGTCTCGGAGTTAACACCACTAATTAATCTAAAGGATACATTCTTGACAGAATGTGCCGATTATTCCCTAGAATTGCTAGACAATGATCCGGCGTTATTTACGTTTTGTGAGTTTATTACAAACATCAGTTGTGACAATTGACAAAGAGAACCAAACGCAGCTTATTGTTTCATGCATGAGAATAAGTAAGTGAATAAACCCAAAGCTTTATGGCAGTGCGACGACATTACTAGTCTGTAATAAAAGTGGAAATTTGGTGACACATTGGATTATAGTAAATATCTGGAATAATCTCTGAAAGGAGAACAAAGTGTGTGTGTGTGTGTGTGTGTGTGTGTGTGTGTGTGTGTGTGTGTGTGTGTGTGTGTGTGTGTGTGTGTGTGTGTGTGTGTGTGTGTGTGTGTGTGTGTGTGTGTGTGTGTGGGTTCCTATGGGTATAAGAATGCAGGAGTGTGTGTGTTTGTGTGGCTCGTTATGGCAGAAGAAGGAAGGGGATCTTGGGTGCTAAATGTGAATTTGGGATCGAAATAAAACACGCCACAAAAGAAATGTAATAATCTGAATTTGCGAATCGGCTTATGGCAGAAAACCAGCCAGATAGAGATGCTCACAGACCTTTTTCCGTCGCCGGAAGGGTAGCCAGCGGCTGCCACAGCCTGGGGTCCTGGCTCGTGCCGGGGCCTTTTTTGGATTAGATGGCGCTGGCTCCCTGGTCGGTCATCATCGGTCATGGAAGGGAGTGTGTGGCCCTCATCAGTCTTGGCTTGACCCTTAGGTTCCTCCAGCTGCACCCAAACGTGCAATTCAGACCGCGAGTCCGAATTATCCAAACGAGATCAAATAAGAGAAACTGTTCGAAATTGGGTTTAACTCTTAATGTGAGGACTCGACCGGACCGCGCCGTTTTCCGGTTTCATGTAGAAAGTTAAAACAAAACAAAATGGAGCTCTGAGTTTACTGTAACTTTTGAGAGCTAATGGCTTGCATAAGGCATCTTTCTTCTTTGTTCTGCCACCACAAGGTCTGAGCTCTGATTTAATAAACTTTCTTGGTCACACCTACATGTATTTCACTCATTAACCACTTGATTGCACTGTGACTCTTTCAAATAACCCAGTCTTCCAACCATGAGGAATTCAAGCTCACAATTTTAACAAAGTTATTCAAAATAAGGCCTCAAAAGGTATTACTTTAAAAAGAAAATAACTAACTTCAGGTCTTTGCCTTTGAATTTAATACAACAGTACTTCAATAAAAACGACGAGGTAGTGATTCCATTTTAACTTGATTCATTAATTAGAAGTAAAAAAACTGAGAAATGTTACAGGGTACAAGAACATGCATGGACTGTTTGGGTTATCACCAAAAAGTAACCGGAGCTTTAGCTGACATCTAATACAGGCTCCCCTTGTCTGGGTCACGTCTCCTTTAAGTGTTGGCATCTTCCTGTTGTATTAATTCCAGTGCCCTGATTCTTTAACCCTACTTACACACAGATCTGTGCATATTTAGTTTGTTGGGACAGTTTTACTCGTTGCATGGTATTCTTCATTTTGTACTTGTAAGTAGAAAGGTTCCTAAATATAAGAACAGCTCTGACCATATGAACAGCATCTAGTGGTAGAATGGGGGAACTGCAGTACTGAAGGTTTCGGTCATCCACACGTGTTCCTCATCCAGTAAATATTTTTACCCAATAAGTGATTTAAATGTCTGTGGAAAAGCAGCTTGATCACATAACTGGTGTTAGAACCCATAAAAGACACTTATGACCGACGAGAATCTGACGTCGCAGCATGGCTGATCTTGTGTTATTGGAAGCTTTAGCAGAGCTTGTATTCTGGAGGGAATGTGTCTTCCATGAGTACACTGATCTGATTCCTGAAGGAGATCCTTCTGGACTTACACTGTAATTTGGAACCATTTGTGGGGCAACTGGCAAACCGCAACAATCTGATTCCAGTCCATATTCAATTTTTGACAGCTATGAGAACGCCCAGAAACTCCTCTGTTCCCCGGTGACAGCTCAGAGAAGTCTGGATGCAGACAACAAACATTTCATATCAACAAAACTAACTCCAAAAAGAACATGCATACAACTCCTTCAATGTAACTGTAAATGGCAACAAAATAGAACCCCCAGACCTTTACGATTTATCATATTTTATTTTATAAGGAATCAATTTTTTCTTTATTCCTGACAGGAACCTCTCCTCTGTCCCAACCACATTTACAACCTCTGCAACTTGTCTGGTTCTCTTTACTTTGGCAGCCAGTGCCTCAATCTCACTATCAATGTAGTTATTTTTATTTTTGGGAGGGGGGGATGTTGGGATTCCCCTCACGAGCTGAGGATGTAGCGAGACCAAATGTGGTTAATTGAGGGTGTTTCTGTATGTAAATGACTGTAAAATACAGTTTGGATTTATCAACATATGATTGCGAAGGAACATGTGTACCAGAGGCCACCACATGTTTCATAAATAATGATTTAGGCCGTTTGTACGAAATTTCTTTTTTTCATTTGTATGATGGAATATGGAACAGTTTCTATGAATGTTTGATAAACGAGAGCCAAGGAAACTGTGTGTAAGACAAGACTGCATGTCAAGTATTATTCGAAATGAAAACATAGTGAGTCCCTGGGTGTTTGTAAGTAATTGTGGAACTAGTCTGGAACCAGATTGAGTTCTAAAAGTCAGCTAGAAACAGAAGTGAAGTTACCCAGTTCAGCTAACCCTCAAATAATCCAACAGATGCTTATTAAAACTTAGTTGTGTTGTGCAGATGAGTGGATGGGACATTTAGCATCACACCCTCAATGCACAGAGACTGGCCCTTAACCCTCCCACTGTCTTTATGGTTGACCCCGCGAGGAAAGTTGACCATTGAGCAGGATTGATGGTTTATTCCTTGAGGTCCATGTGGCAGGTATGAGGAGTGAGTACTACCTCACCCCTGCCATGTGTACCTCAGGGGATAAACCATCAATCCTGCTCAATGGTCAACTTTCCTCTCGGGGTCACCTATAAAGACAGTGGGAGGGTTGAACCACAACATTTCAGGTCCTGCAAATGGGATGCCATTTGGGGCAGCAGTAGCTCAGGTGGTAGAGCGGGTTGCCCCATGATCGGAGGGTCATGGGATCGATTCTGTCTCTTGCCAGGGGTATTCTACTGTTGTGTCCTCGGACAAGACACTTCATCCAACTTGCCTGTTTTGGTTGTGGTCAGAGGGGCGGACGGCGCCAAATGGCAGCCTCACCTCTGTCAGACCGCCCCAGGGCGGCTGTGGCTACAAAGTAGCTTACCATCACTAGCAGTGTGTGAATGTGAGAGTGTGAAAGCGTCTTTGAGTGTATTAAAAAGCGCTATATAAGTTCAGTGCATTATTATTATTATTATTATTATTATTATTATTATTTGTTCACTTTTCATCAACAATCAAAGAAAGAGACATTTCATTTATCATTACGTTACTTTATTGTTTTTTTTTTTCTATTTTTAAAATCACTGTGAATAATCAGAAAAGTTGACTGTTTATAAACTCCTATTTGTGTAGCTACAGTTTTCCAGTGGAGCAGACAGTGTTGTCCAGTACATCTACTATCAGCCCATCGTCCATCGCTGGAGAGAGACTGACTTCTTCCCTTGCTCTGTCACATGTGGTGGAGGTAAATTTAAAACCTAGATTACTTTCTTTCTTTCTTTTTTTTTTGACTAACTTGTTCGCTCCTATATGGACATTAATAAAATCTTATGTAAGTGCTATTCTGCTCACATTTCTGGTGTGAAGGTTACCAGCTCACCTCCGCTGAGTGTTTTGATCTACGGAGTGGTCGAGTGGTTGTAGACCAGTACTGTCACTACTATCCAGAGAACGTCAAGCCAAAGCCCAAACTGCAGGAGTGCAACATGGAGCCCTGCTTGGACAGGTTGGTTGTCAGTTCTTTAATTAGTAAAATCTTTGAATTGTAACATCACATTTACTTTGATATACGTAATTTCCTTCATTATTTCTGTCTCTTAGTGACGGTTACAAAGAAATTATGCCGTATGACCTCTACCACCCCTTGCCTCGGTATGTCCTCTGCTGCTTTAACGTACAATATTTACAACCAATCACAAATCCACTCAGTTGTCTTTCATTGCTTCAGTTGGGAAAGCAGTCCCTGGACAGCATGCTCCACTTCCTGTGGCGGTGGCATCCAGAGTCGCTCTGTCACATGTGTTGAGGAAGACATCCAAGGAAACATCACTCCCACAGACGAGTGGAAGTGTCTCTACAATCCGAAAGCTGCCATCCTGCAGCCTTGCAATGCCTTTGATTGTCCCACCTGGCTGGCACAAGATTGGTCACCTGTAAGTACTCATCTTTATTTAGATTTTTTTTAAAACATTTTTGATGAAGCCAAGTGTTCTGATTTGCAAGGCCACCTTGCCAATTTTAGGTAGTCACAAAGCTGTAGCTGTTGAAATGTGAAAGGGTAAGCCTGCATCAGAGGTGTAACATAGTCATGACAGACATTTGGAATTCCACTCTTCAGTACTTCGAGTGTTGCTTCAGTATTTTGTGATAAAAGGAAATTTCCCGTACCATCTACATTACAATTCTCACTTATGCTAGGTCCACACTGGTGGCATCAGCGGCACGGAATGGCAGTGGAAGGTTGCTGCTTCACATAGAATCCATTATAGCCTATGGGCTGATCAAAATCGGCTGCGGCACGGAGCATTTCAGGTCCCATAAGCAGTTTGCCGCACAGCTAAAGACAATTTATGGCTTTGTGGTTATGAAATTTAGATCATGACCAAAATAATGAGATTCTGGAAACAAGGTAGTTGAAATGGGCTTCCTCTGCAGGGTGGCAGTGCCAAGCTTTAGAGAAAAGGTAAGGGGCTGTATCACATGGTAGCTCAGAGTAAGGACTCTCTGGTCAGCCTCATTTTCATGACTCTATGGATGTTTTCTGGTTTCCTGGAACTCACTGAAGGGATTATACATCTTCTCTGTCCTGGGAACCCCTTGAGATCCCATAGGAGGAGCTAGAGATGGTCACTGAAGAGAGAGGGTTTCCAGTAGCATCTGATGTGACCCAACTGTACATAAGAAGGAGAAATGGGTGGATGTTGTAGGTGTTATTTGTTAAAAGAGGAAAGAAAACATCAAAATGCCTAGTTACATTACCTGGAAAAAAGCATCTGTCACAAAGGAAGGCCAGTACAAAAGTCCTTCTGGGAATTGTAATGGAAATGTAATTAAAAGCTATGAATTTATTAGTGATTATTGGTAGGAGCAGTTACAGTTAGGGTAAAAATGCAACAGTTGAATCCAACTTTACACCATGCCATTACACACAGACATTCATCAGTCTGACCCACTTGGCCACGCTGTTTTAGATTTTTATTTTTGAAGCGGCCATTACCGTAACCAGTCTAACCATAAATGTCTCCGACAACTTCCTGACTGGCTTTTTTCTGCCTCACCAGTTAAACGGGGACATGCTGAAACCCACGGAGCCAGATTTGTTGCCCCGTTAAAACCTGGTATTGCTGTTTGCATAGCACATTCCTCCCCTGCATTTCAAATGCTTGGTTTGGCAGGAGATGAACAAAGTTTGCTCCTGAACGGAGACTTTTATGGGATGTTGGAAGTTTTCTCTTCTCACTATCATTGAGTTACATGTTTTATAAACTACATGTAAAAGGAAGTAACCACAGTAGACATGTGTGAAAAAACTGTTTGACCTGTCGCCACCAGTGCACGATGACCTGTGGTCAGGGCCTGCGTTACAGAGTGGTGCTGTGCATCGATCACAGAGGGCTTCATGCCGGAGGCTGCAACCCCACCACCAAACCCCACATCAAGGAGGAGTGTCTGGTTACAGTGCCCTGCTACAAGTCTATAGGTTGGGGAATCTTAACCACCAAAGCTGCTCTCATTTCCCAATGGCTGCATGCAACATTAAGCATATCTGTGCAATTTGCTTTAGACACACTACCTGTGGAAGCGAAACCTGTGTGGCATAAGCAGGCCATAGAACTAGAGATAGAAGTCACTGCGACAGAGGAACCAACGTGAGTACCAATACGCTTTCTTCTTGGACCAATCATTTGGTTGGTCGATTATCTTGACAGATATTTAGCAATATTGCCATATTAACTCATTCACTGCCACTGACGACAAAAGTCCTCATTTTAAATCCAACCGTTCACTGCCAATGAATTGTTTTTACTGTGTGGGCGTCGGAACGAGCCCCCACACGGTGAGAACAAACATCCCAGCTCTAAAGCCGATCTTCATCCGCCTACGTCACACGTCACGTGATCAGGAAGCAAAAAATCCATGTGTAAGGAGATCATTTTGGGCAGCTGCTGTAAAAAGAAGTGAGGCGCGGACCGGAAAATCTTCTGCCGATCACAATTCGACAACGGATTATGAAAGAACGGATAACGTTCGAAACACGCTGATTCTTCCTGATGTAAGAGGTGAGTCTACTCTTTGTTTTGGTAGTTTTGGCGTCGACATCATCTTAGAGCGCAACGTTCTGTGACTCTTAAAAAAATAGTGTAAATGCTGAAAAACGCTGGCAGCGAAGGGGTTTTCTGATCAGGAAATGGCTGGCAGTGAATGAGTTAAGCATCACTGGATAAAAGTCAGGGACACCTTCTAATTTCCAGGAAAAGTAACTATAGCATTACTTTTTAATAAAAATATGCAGGGATATATGGATCCCTTCTTAATAGAACTAGAATAAATTACTATAATACAAAAGTATAAATTACTAAAGTGACTAAATTGTGTGCCCAATCAAGTATTAAAACACAGAATAATTGAATTAAATGGGCATCTAACAGAACTACAAACAGGAAACATTACACTAATATACACTATTTAAATGCTCCTGTGTGATATGAAACCTCAATTAAAATTTATAATTACAAATAGATTTATTTCTACATTTTAGCAGAACATAAGATTGCTTCATGAGATTACACTGCTTCCAACTGATGTAGGAAAATCACTTTGTTCCTGGGCGTAAATAATATTTTGCATGGAGATTCTTGCATTTATCTCCATAAAGGAATATAAATTTGGTCATTTTTTTGTCTGTCAACTTTGTATTATTGGATATTTTATTTATTTATTTATTTATTTATTTATTTATTTATTTGACCATTTCTGCCACTAATGATCTATGAACACCATCTCTATAAATACAAACCCTTATAAAAAACACTAAAATAGGAACAAATCTGATCATCGACTTAAATTTGCGAACTTGGGTCGGGCCCAAACATTGAAATGCTGACCCTGTGTTGTAAAGATGTGCAGTCAGCTCTAGTAACACTTCAGTGCCCAAGACGTATTCTGAGACTGATATAATCAGTGTTACAGCAGGACTAAGGAAAGGATCGGGAACACAGACTAATTCCAGTTGCATGACTGGAGAATGATCTAGGAAAATTAGAAATTGTGACGAAGAATGAATAAACGTGGTTAACAGGTGAGCGGGTCTTCCAAAAGGCAGCATAGGCAGCCTCTCTTTCTTCTTGTTGCCAGTAGGGGACCCATGGTCCAGAAGTAGATGGGTGTGACTTAAGCCTAGGGCACACCGGAGGTAGACGCGCCACACCCGCGTCGTCATTTTAAATAGAAGCCATTATAGTTAATGAGAGTGGGTACACAAGGAGCGCTGAAGATGGTCGGTAGTTCAATTTGAAGCTCTGCGGCGCCGCAGCTGTTTGCAGCATTGTGGAGTACTTTACAACAGACATTACAACGTGGAACGGCTTTACGGCACAAACCCAGTCGCAGTTTTGATAACTTTAAAGTACTATCAATCTTAAAATATTCAAATAAATAGCATCCTTACCCATTTTTAATGAATTAGAGTCTCACAAAACACGACAGCAAGTCTGATCACGTATTAACAATAGAGTCACTTCCCACTTCCTGTTCTCAAGTCCCGCGTGATGTTGTGGCTATCGCGCAACTTTACAAGAAGTGCTCAGCGGCGCGGCCTGTGTGACCACTTGATTTCTCAAAATCGCAGGCAAGCGAGGACACTTGAAGGATAAGGGAGACACTTTTGAAAATGACAATGCACATTTTGGACAGAGAAGATATATAGTTTGAGAGAGGAGTAAAGGAAGCTTTCTATGTTATATACAAAAAAACTGACATTAAACAGACGGGGAGGCCTCAGGTTTAACCTTTCCATCACCTACAATGCTGCTCTAAACCAGATCCCAAAACAGTTTTAGTCTAGGTCACACCCTCTTGCATCTAATCAAAACAACCAGTCCAACACAATAGGACCTAAAGGCATCAACATCTCCTCATGGGGTAGGGAGGAGGGTATTTATAGATACTTTCTGCTCCTTAAACAACAACAGACAGCTTATAAACTTGTCTCTCCCACAGTTCAGTCAGAATTGATAAAGGTCCTCGAATGAGAAGCGAAACGTCTTCAAGAAACCAAAGAAGTCCAGTTGCCTTCATTTGAACCCCTTTGGATTACCATGACCTGGATAACTGAGAACCTTCTCCAGCACATTCACCACTGTCTTTTAAAATCTATCAGTTTCCAATATGTGTAAAATTTTAATGGCTTGAATTAAAAAGCAAACCCACCAAAAATTACTTTAAATTTTGGCTTTTTCCTGCCTTGATTTCTAAAAATTGGCTTCACGATCTATAATTTCAAGTTTAACTTGGTTCTCAAAGTCAGTAGAAGTTCAACCCTCTCAGGCTCAAAATAAGTTTTCATAAAAGAACGAACAACTAAGTCCTTCAGGGGTACTTCTGAGTTTAAAAACGCTCATGAAATACGTATGTGGAGTAACCAGGTAGGTAGGTTTTAACTGTTGCAAATCTGCAACGCCTGCCTCCAGAGGGTTAAATTACAGAAGGAGTTTCAACATAAAGCAAAAGTGATGTCACAGGCAACAACTTTCCAAACCCAAAGCTTAAAGACATAAATCTGGAGGTGAAATTGAAACCGACAGGGTTGGGTGCTGCCGTGAAACCACCACAGTATCACGGTTGTGTTCATGTCAGCAATAATCCTCTTCAACCTCAAGTCAAAATGTCCAACCGTTGGTCTCGCACTTGGCCAACAGATGTCAAACTGTGCCCCTGTTTGTGCACATACCTTCCAGCTGCCAGATGTTTGTCCTTGGGTTGTTTTAAAAAAAAAATTGTAGCATTGAAAGTGTTCTAAGTATCCAAGGTTATTTTAGGTAAAGAAGGGGAAGCTGAGGGGGAAAAGAGGAGAAAAACATATTTTTTGGAGTTCTGGTCACTGCCTACCAGCATTACCTCATCAAACTCTATGATCTTCCAGATGTTCTGTCCCCTGAAGAAGGACAATGTTTGGATGCTGCCCAGTGTTTTGGATGACTTACATTAGCAACAAGTTATCCCATTTTAAACATCAGTTACTTTGACTAATATTTGGAGCGAGAGAGAAGGAGAAGAAGAAATGCCAAAACATTTGCTTTTTGTTCTGTTTTGGAAAAAAGAAGTAAATGTTTCCTGAAAAATCACAGAAATATCTACGTATAATCTGGATGCATTCACAAGCCAACAGCAATATCTTCCTGTCGCATGGGGCCAAATCACAGATGTGAGGGTGAGGAGAAGGAAATTCCTGTTTTAGGGTTAATGCACCTTTGTTGCCAAGCCTTAAATGTTGTCCTAGTGGGGAAACTGCTCAAAATCTATTTGAGCTTCACAACCTGGCCAAATCTGTTTTTCATCATACAGTATTTCTGTTGATGGAAATTTAATTGATACAATTAACATGAAGTCTTGGCAGACAGAACAGAAATCGGTTGTTTCCTGCCACAAAAGAAATCAGGATTGTTTTTGAACTGACAGATGCACTTTAACTGTGCGTGAAGATAAATATTTCTGTGCACTTGCTTGTTGACTTTGTTGTTCCAGATCCAAGCTCTCACTGTGATTCGTTTCATTCATTTGTCCAAACTGAAGCGGGTCCCCGCGCTCTCGTCAAGAGCGAACTTCTCAGTGGTTTAGAGCTCTTTATTGAGGCATTTTGTAAAACAGCATGGTGCTTTTGTGCTGTGGTCAGAGAAGGAGGAACGCTGCACACGAGTGAAAGCTGCTGTGCGAGAGGAACATTTGTGCCACTCATTGGAACATTTAAAGTACATCAATTCATACATGACTTACCTTTTCCAAGTTTACATTCCAGTTTGTGTGCATAAGCATGAGCAATCTCTAATACATAACTTATTGGATAAAAAGTAAACTTAGCTAAACTCTTGGCGGTTGCTGTTCTGTTAGCTGTGAGGTTTTTAAAGGCATTTACATATTTAGCTGACCTAATTTTAGGAATTATGTCATTAAGGACACCTTTGATGATATTTTCATCTGGTATAAGCTAACTATTAGCAATAGCAACTTCATCACACAGCAGAAGCTTCTGCGGGTTTGTGTTATTTGTGGAGATAAAACATTACCATTGCAGAGCTAATCAAGTCAGTGGTAGAGTTGCATTGCTGTTATCCAATCCGAGAAGAGATTCCCAAATATTAGGAAATAAGACTCCAAATCCTGCCGTGCTCTCCTCTGATGTGGCTGGTGCTTTTCTCCAGCGGTCTCCAGGCAAGCAAGCGGGGTACACCCTGGACAGAGAGCCAGTCCATCACAGGGCAACACAAAGACACACAGGACAAACAACCAAGCACACACACTCACACCTAAGGACACTTTAGAGAGACCAATGAACCTGACAGTCTTGCTTTTGGACTTTGGGAGGAAGCTGGAGCACCTGAAGAGAACCCACGCATGCACAGGGAGAACATGCAAACGCCATGCAGAAAGATCCCAGGTTGGGATTTGAACCCAGGACCTTCTTGTTGCAAGGCAACAGCACTACCCACTGCACCACTGTGCGGCCCCAGGTCTGACCAATGGCGATAATACTTTTTTTTAAGTCAGAAATTGTCCAATTAAATCAGCCAGTTGAAAACTCTTCCTACCACAGGTTAGTCTCCACAGTAGGTCTCTTTTACAGATTATAATACAGATGTTGTTCTTCTAAAGCTATCTAATAGATATCCTGACTGCTGTATTCTCTCTTGGGTATTGAAGGAACACATAACTGGCACAGAACGGCTGTTACAGTCTCCCCCAATCAGCAGATGTAAACACAACTGAATTACTCCAGAGTTTTCCCTCTCTTTGATCTTGTACGGGACTAAGGCCAACATTTCACTGAGCATATTTGTCAGTAAAATTTAAATATAAAACGGACTTTAGCTCTCTCCCTCTGTCTTGTGTTTGTATTTGTGTTTATTCTCCATTTCCTAAGAGCTTACAACAGATGTCACCCTTCAGGCTTTAAATACTCAGTTCCTCGTGCTTAAATTTGAACATAGATGTGCCCTTCATCCTGGAACAGGTGGCTCTTAATACTTTACAGCTCTTTTATTAGTCACAGTATGTATTTGGGTGAAGTTTCCAAGCCTGCCTGTGTAGATTGTGTGAAACATAATAATCTGAATACTTTCTGTATCGTGTGCTGCATGAATATTTTGATTCTTTAGATACATTCCTGGTCCCTGGCAGCCCTGCAGCAGGACATGTGGAGTCGGAATGCAGCGGCGGGCGGTCAAATGCCAGGTGATGCTGTCCTTCTCCCAGAGTGTTGCTGACTTGCCCGATGATGAGTGTGAAGGGGAAAAACCTGCTACAAGTCAGCCTTGCTACAACAAACCCTGCCCTGGAGGACTGGGCCATGCCCGACAAGAGAAGGAGGAGATAACCCATGCCGGTGAACTCTACGACTGGGAGTATGAGGGTTTTACGGAGTGTTCAGAGAGTTGTGGAGGAGGTAAGGATCCTAACATAACAAAAACAATCGTGCTGCTTTGCTGCAAAGTGGACATGCAGTCAGGGAGCCGTTGGTCATTCATAAGTGCTCAGCCTGTGCCGGCTATGTGGCGCCATTTTATGTGTTTTTCTCAAAAGGTTATCTGATGGAGGGATAAGGAGAACTCCCGATTACTGAAGTGGCCCACTCGGTATTACCGTGATTATTGCCCCCCCCCCCCCAAGATCACATGTCCATTAATTGCAAGAGCTCTCCAATCGTCTTGCAAGGGTGGACAGAGTAGAATCCACTTTTTTAACCATCAGTCGAAAACTACGGAGCCCGCAAGCTTGTGATTGTTCAGGATGCCACTTCCTTTAACTTAATCAACAGCACAGCCATTTCCCCTAAAAAAATGAATAAGTTAAACGAGAGCCAGAGATATCTAGAGACAGACATAGAGCAGATTGAAAAACGTCTTGTGGTAAAAGTCCAACGTTTACGCACCCGTTACCGAAGGAGTACAAAGGCACGCAGCAAACCTTTATTTGTGTCAGGTTATTACGGGAAACGTGAGTTTAGAGGTGGTGACTGAATGAAGAGGTGGAGGACTGTTTTGTGTTAAAAAGTTTGAAATACATAAACACAATATAAACACACTAGAGACAAATGATATTGATAAATGACCTGTACTTGTAGAGCGCCTTTCAGAGTCAGAGGACTCCAAAACGCTTTACACTACAGTGTGTCATTCATCCCTTCACTCACTGGTGATGATCACCGACAGAGGTGAGGCTGCTGAACACAGTCGCCGGTCCCTCCGACCCCCACCAGCAGGAGAGGTAGGTTACGTAGAACAGTGGAATTCTGTGTCCAGAGCCAGGATCAAACCTGCAACCATCCGATTACTGGACAACCTGCTCAACCCCTTGAGCTACTGCTGCTCTGTGACATGACTGCATTGATGGCAGGATGCCCCGGAAAAGCGCTACGCCCTCTGCTATCCTAGTGGGCAATTGCTTCACAAGGACACAGGAGAAGTATAAAAGGAAAACATCTCTGTAAATATATGCGCATGTGAACGCAAAGTTGCTGACAGAGATGTATAACCTAGCCTTGAGTGGTCTGCTCTGGGCTGGTACCAAATTCCCACTCTGAATTATTGTCCCATTCTGCCCCTAGGCAATATTACTGTCAAGTTTGAATATGCACCAGTGGCATAATATTATTGCCCTGACCCCATGGTGCATTCAAAAGACACACTGTGGTGACAGTGTTGCCCTGACACACACACACACATCCTGAGGGTTGGGTTTCTGTGGACCATTACACCACTGTGATATTTTAAGTGCCTCTTTTATCTTTTTGAAATTTACAATACGTTTAATATGATAGTAAATCATTTTCCTTTGCAGAGTTCTTTATGCAAGCCTCCTGTTGCGCTTTCAAAAATGTCCTTGGTGCATTTATGAAATTTAATTTGTTTTATTCCACAGATGACTCAGAATTGTGACTTCATTTAAGGTCGTAAGGAGCCACGCCCTTTACAGTCCCAGGGTTTTATGTTTCAGATCATCTGGCCCTACTGAAAACATTTATACCTCTGCTGGAACTCAACTAGGCTGATGAACTCATTTTATATGTGCAAATGTATTTTCTTAATATTTATTTTGTAAAATTTACACTCAAAGTGTGAATTCAGACAAATCTGACAATACCGATAAAATAAAATTGTTTGACCCATCCTGTAATAATAAAGCACGCTCAGGTTAAATTTATACGGAAAACATTATTAGAAGATTGTGTCTACCAAGCCCAGCTGTATTAAGTTTCACCAGCATTATTGAATAAAATGCCAAAGAAAACCATATAAATAGATGGCAACTTTATATGTCCATTAAACAACTTATTTAGTTATTATGACTGTAGGTCTTAAAATTTAACAAATACTCCACATGACATATTGTGTTATGTCATTATTTATTTTAACCTAAATTAAGTTCAATTGCAGGAGCGGTGTGTGGAAAAGCCAAGCACACCCTATGATTTAAAACATTATAAAATTACAGCAATAACTTAAAGTAGTTGTCTTCTGTATGACCTTCTCAGCCTCTCACATCACTGGGGAGGGATTTTGGCCCATATGCTCACCTATAAGCTTGTGTGTAAAACTTCAGAGTTCAACAAAATTTTGTCTGAAGTACCTTTTTTGTTATACTGTGCACCTTCTTTGTGCTTTTGAACTCTAGGCGTGCAGGGAGCAGTGGTGATCTGCCTGAACAAGCAGACCAGGAAGACAGCAGACCAAAGCCTGTGTGAGAGTTCTCGACGGCCTCCACAGCTCCTGCAGGACTGTAATGCTGAGCCCTGCCCGCCTAGGTACAGTAAAACCGGCCAGTCAAATGTCATATTCACCTTTGTGGTTATATATGAAATGTGTTTACCTGTATGCCGCCTTGTTTTGCACAAAAAAACTCCCAACACATTATAGTTTAGACAACTTGAGTCCAATGACGCTGCCGCTGATTGGCGGAGATGGATGGTTGTATAAGGACATGATCCAAAGTCAGCGAGTTTACAATCTACCAAAGTTCAGAAATTAAACTCATCCTAAAATAAAAATAAAAGACATGGGGGATGCTTCAACCACCCAAAATACTTGGTCTCACCAAACTCCTTCCATGCCCAGGATTTTGCATTCCACGACCACCCAAGTCACATTCTGCTTGGCCTGCCGCTACTCATCAGCTGCCTCTAGAGGCCCACAGGCCAAAAAGACCCGATAGGACTCTTTCTTCAGCTTGACGGTATCTCTAACCGTCGGTGTCCACCAGCGGGTTCGGGGGTTGCCACCACAACAGGCACAGACGATCCTTCAGCCGCAGCTCCGGTCGGCCAACTCGGCAAAAGAAGCACGGAACATGGTCCACTCAGGCTCAAAGTCCCCCGCCTCACCCGGAACATTTTGGAAGTTCTGTCGGAGGTGGGAATTGAAACTTATACTGACAGGAGACTCCACCAAATGTTCAGACCCTCACAATACATTTGGGCATGCCGGGTCTGACTGGCTTCCTCTCCCACCATCGAAGCCAGTGGTCAGTTGACAGCCCCCCACCCCACCCCCCACCCCCTCCGAGTGTCCAAGACATGCAGCTGCAGATTAGATGAGACGACAACTAAGTCGATAATCGAGCTGCAGCCTGAGGTATCTTGGTGCCAAGAGCACATGGACACCTTAATGTGTTCATTATGGACAATTCATGACGAGCACAGAAGTCCAATAGGAAAACACCACTCGAATTCAGGCGGGCCGTTCCTCCCCGCCTCAGGTCTCACTGTTGGGTACAATTATAATATAATACAATTAATTACAACCAAATGTCTAAGAAAAATTATATTTTTACTTTTCAAGATAAAAACTGACAAAAGTTTGGAGATAATTGTCTGGGGTTTAGTTTTTATCATAACACGAAACTTACTCTGGAACCACCCAGAGGGGTGATGTGGTTTCGTTTGGCTTCAAAGTGCCCCTTCTATATAGTTATTATGTAAGTCAGTGGTTGCTCATAGTGTCTAAACCTATGTGTCATTTAAAAGAGTTGAGTGGGATTGCTGAGAGAGAACTTACATTGTATTCTATTTAGTTAAGACCAATAAAATAATTAATTAGAATTTTATTCTCTTGATTTTTTTTTGTTCGTTCAAAATAAAACTGACTCATCTAGAGCATTAAACAATCAAATAGCAAATTGTTAATCATATCTACATTGTGGATAAACGGTAAGTAGATTTTGTGGTAGGCCACGTTTCAGGTCACCACCACACATACTGTCAGTGCTCCGCCATTCACACTCTTCTCAGAAACCCAGAGGCTTGCAGCTTTGCTTGCATGTTTTTCCAGGCCTTCAGTCTTGTTTTCACGCACAACAAACCCTGTATCAGACTTGTTTCCTTTGGCCCTTGACTTCCTCCCTGAGGCCTCACCTCACCCCTCATAAAAAGCTACACTCTTTGGATAGTGTTCTCTCAGAGGGAAGACAGCCATAAGATTTAGTTTGTACCAATCCTCGAACAAACTTTATTCCCGATCCTTAATGCCCACCACAACCCATCCCCCGACTCTTTAAGTAAATATAAACTGATTTGAAATCTAACTTAATCTGTCAAACCAGATCTAATGTTGCTGAAACCTTGAAAAGAAGCTGAAAGTTCTTGGACTGAGTCCTAAGACTGGAATACAAGCACAAAATTTAAAGTTACCTTTGACGATGAATTGATGGCTTGGTTTAAAGTCATTGTTGGCAACCACTTACTGCTCTTCCCTGTAGACAACTAGAAACATTCAAGATGACACGATAGCTGAGGTCTTTCTCCAGTATCCCATTACACAGTGGGGGATTGTATTCGTTTAGCCTTTTCACTCTTATTTCATGAATTCAGTTTCCATTCATTTACATACTGATAACGTTTTCCAAGACGTCCCTCTGGATCAAGGACTAGACTCGACTTTGTTCACAGCACTGTATTTAGATTTAATAATAATTACATATATCATGTTTTATAAGTTAGCCTCAGATGATGAACTAGGTGGCTATTGTTTTCACAGGTGGGAAACAGGTGAGTGGAGCTCATGTTCTGCTACATGTGGGGTTGGTCTGATCACACGCTCTGTGGCATGCACTCATCAGCCGTCTAAAGACAGCCGCTACACTGCAGTATTGAAGGATGAGGACTGTCAGAATCCCAAACCAAGTGCTTTCCAAGCATGCAATCGTTTTGACTGCCCGCCTAATTGGGACACACGTGACTGGGGACAGGTAAAGTATCTCATGTTCAATAATTGCTATATCTACCCAAATCTAGCACACCAAACCCTTGGTTTATCTATACTGTCATCTCTATAGTGCTCCCAGACCTGTGGAGGGGGAGTTCAGAAGAGACGAGTGCTTTGTAAACAACGCTTAGCAGATGGCAGCATTCTGGAACTGCCTGACACCTTTTGCACAACAAGACGCCCTGCAAACCAGAGGCAGTGTGGCATACAGGACTGTCCCCCTCACTGGGTTACAACTGCTTGGTCTCAGGTAGTTTGTTTTTCAGATAGGAACCAACAGGTTTTTTTTTTTTCATGCAGTTTTATTTTGCTGTTCAGGTTTTGCCAACATGCCTATTTATCTCTGTCCAGTGTTCAGTAACTTGTGGAAATGGCATTCAGAGTCTGCAAGCTGTCTGCAAGAAGCAAGGAGAGAATGGACAATATTGGACTATTGACTCAAAGAACTGTTCCATGATGGTCCGTCCTATTAGAGTCAGACAATGCTTTTCAAAGCACTGTGAAAGTAAGAGGGATACTCTCATTGGCTCTGTTAGGATCATTTGTATTATTAGATGGTGGTGGTGGCCAATCCTGGTCCTAGAGGGCCACTTTCCTGCACATTTTTGAGGTTTTTCTGCTTCAATACAATTGATTTTGTTTCAGCAGGTGATAAGCAAGCTTTCATAGAGCTTGAAGATCTGCTGAACAGGTAATAAAACACTGAATCAAATGTATTGGCGCTGGGAAATAATTAAAACATGCAGGATAGGGACCAACGAGGACCAGCATTTGGACATATAACTGATACATTTGAAATCAGGCAAGAATAAGAATGTAGCTTTGCTCCGTGTCTTTAAAATTTTGGCATTTTACTTACAGACTCAATGAAGCCTGACCCTGCCATTTTGGCCCAGAAGAAGATTTACATCCAGTGGACGAAGATCAAAAAGGTACAGCTGGTTATTGGGGGTTATGCCTACCTCCTGCCCTGGACAACGGTAATCCTTCACTGCCCAACCCGCCACTTCCGCAGAGGCCACATTCAGTGGCTCAAAGAGGGGAAGCCCCTGGTACATCTACCACATTTTTCCTTAAAATCACAAGGATATCTAAAGATTCAACACATCCAAACATCCGATGCTGGAATTTACACTTGCCTTGTTGGTCAGGCACAAGAACATTTTGTCCTACAGATTATTGGCAACAAGCAAAAGCTGACCACTCCAGAGTCATGGTTCCATGAAGGGGGGCAACTTGCTATGACCTCAACAAGTGAATCGTCTAAGGAGCTACCCACCTCTCTCAACAAATATGACAACCTCGTTGAGCACTTGCTCGAGCTTAAAGGTTCTGTCCATGATGAAAAATTCCTTGCTGATAAACCTCACTTGAGTGAGAAGAACTGGTCGACTCAGGAGGATGAGGTCACAGACTCTTCAGTCCCAGTTGTGCTTGCTACCAACAGCCATAGACTAGATGAGCTCATCCAGAACTTGCCTGAAGGTTTTAGAGGGCCACACGGGGAACAACTCATTGTTCAGTTTCTTAATGAACTCAGTATGATACAAAAGGGCTCTAAAGAATCTACACTTCACCCTTCAAATGGTGCAGAATCTTCTACACAAGGACCACTCCTTTACCAGCCAAACCGCAAAGCCCCAAAATCCAGGGCTGGAAAACCAGTTATTGTCCAGCAGTCTAAAAAGGTTAGCCTGGTGCCACAGTCTGAAGTTGTTGTTAATGTTGGAGTGCCAGTTTTTCTGCAGAAAAGAGTAACGTCTTTGGAGATACAGTGCGAAGCTTTGGGGGACCCTCGGCCATCTCTAAAATGGACTAAAAACAGAAAGGACCTGCTCTACGATGCCAGGTGAGAACTATGCCACTCTTGGAATTTTTGAGTGAATGACATAGCTGACTGTGGGTATTTTGGTTTTTGTGCTGATAGAGTTGGCCTTCTGCCCTCTGGCTCACTGAGGATCCGGTTTCCAGGCAAAGGGGATGAGGGTCTGTACACCTGTACAGCCAGAAATCACCATGGAAGTGCATCTCTTTCATCTTGGCTACAGATTACAAGTAAAGTCAACACATACAGCTTGATTGTTGCTTTCTTCATGATGTATGTAGTTTGTGAAAATTTTTGTAACACTTTACAATAAGGGTCCCTTTATTAACATTACTTGGTGCATTATTAAGCATTAATAAACTATTACCAACTGCTTAACCATGTTATGTAATGCATTACTGAGTAGCCCCCCCATCCCCCTTTTCCCCATAGACACGCATGCACACACACACACACTGTGGCCCTTTGTGCTAACCGTATCGACACTTAATAGTTTACAGTCCTGGGAACGTTAATAAAGAGCCCCTTTGTTTATTAATGCTTAATAAAGCACTAAGTAATGTTAACAAAGGGACCTTTTGTTTATTAATGCTTAATAATGTAATGTAATGAAACAGACCCTAATTTTAAAGTGTTACCAAATTGTTTTTTATTTCCTTTACTATGTGGATGAAGATGCATATACCTTCACCAGAGTACAATTTCAGGAGAAGGAGAAAAGTAGTCTGGTATAAAAAGTTAATAGGGTTAAATGCAAGTTTTTTTCTTTAACTTCCCTCTAACTGTGCCTTGCGAGCAAAAAGATATCCAAACAATGAAGTCTGTACTAGCTTGATGTCAAATCTAGTTGTCCTAATCTAGTTTAATGTGTTCCAGTTTATTGTGTGTGTGTGTGTTTTTTTTTTTTGTTTGTTTTTTTTGCGGTCCAAGCATTCTGAGAAAGCAGACAGACATATTCAGTGAGCTTTTACTTACCCTAGCGGCGCATCTGTCTGAGTCAGCGTTGGGGAATGTCCGGTGAGCGTCACAGTATGAGTCGTCTCTAGACTTCGCAGCCCTTCGTCTCCTCAAAGCAAAGATCAGTCACAGTATTACTGCATCACCGTCATCAAAGTTCTGCCACTGTGGATTTCCTGATTCTGCTGAACTCTTCTTCCCCATGCGGCAACAATTAGAGGTTCCAGGCAATGTTTCAAAGAAGATCAACACAACGTATCCCATTCTGCTAATCTAAATGGAAAGGATAAAGAGGCTTAAAAGTGCTTTAAAAAAAGACTTTTTTTGTATAGTTGGTTAAAGACAGTGTAATTGATGTGCTTTCCAGCCTTTTACACAACAGTCGTGCAAAAATAAATAAAGAATAAACATAAAACGTGTGATTATTTGAAGACCGTATTTTTGAGTTAGCTGATTTTCAGGTTTTTGGTTTTTAAAGTCATAAACATATTCTCTAAACCTTTTTTTAAGAAGTAAAATCTGTTATTTTATTATCATTTCAGGTGGTAAAGTACGAAGCTGTGTCCACAATAACAGTACTGACCATAGATGTTTTGAAAGGAATAGCAGCAGTGGGTTTACTGAGCTGTGTCGAGGACAGGACTGTCCCTTCAGGTCAGTTGATGCTCCTAAATGTACGTGCTCTCTGGTGTGTTGAGTATTGTGTCTGCTAACTGGGGAAAGAAAAAAAAATCACACCGGTGTTTTTCCTGTTATTCAAATGTTAATTTCTCTAAATGGTTTTCTTTTTTAACAGCTTGCTTAGGTGGCGAGTGGATGCTTGGACGCCCTGTTCGGCCACATGTGGAGGTGGATCCCAGTCCAGAAGTGTACGCTGTGTGAGGGGTTCTGAGGACAGTTTAAGAGAGGTTGAAATCCAGCAGTGCTTTGGGAAAGGGAGGAAACCTTCAAATACAAGGCTCTGTAACATTCTGCCCTGTGCCAGATGGACCACGATGTCATGGGGGCAGGTGTGTGAGCTCACATCTGGCTGACACTACAACTATAAATAGAAGTAGAAATAAAACAATGTTTTGGTTAACATTTTTTCAGTGTAATGGACAATGTGTGGGTCCTAGTTTGGCTACTCAACACAGACATGTTTACTGCCAGAACACAAATGGAACCAAACTTCCCTACAGGATGTGCCATGGACTCCGAAGGTAAGCACAGATTTCAAACCTATTTGGTTTTGTTCAAGCTAATGCTAACTTACATCCTCCTTTTAAAGTACAGTGAGAACAGGGATGCATGGTGAACTCATTCTAATTTGTGTTTGTACTTTTAGGCCGAGTTCTGTGAAGAACTGCTCCACAGAGACATGCTCTCTTCACTGGCACGTTGGTCCATGGACACAGTGCACAGCCACATGCGGACAGCATGGCTTCCAGTCACGTCAAGTGACCTGTACACACTATCGGACAGGAAGAACAACTCGAGAACACCACTGCATGTGGAGACCTCGGCCTCCCAGCTGGCAGAGGTGTAATATTTTATCATGTAGCAGAGGTAAGAGGAAATGTACCTTTTTTTTAAGTTAGTGTACCAAAAAGTCTTTGCCATCTCCGACCTGCTTTCCTAGTGATGATGTAATGACCATGGAGAAATTGTTTGTTCTGAGAAAAGCTGGTTTAACGCATCATAGGTTTAGACACAACCCCTTAAATTAGCATGGCCCTACTCTCTAAAACGTCAGCAATTTCTGAACATTGGTCACAGTCAGAGGTGGACTGGGACCAAAATTCACCCCTGACATTTTAACGAATCGTTGGCCCACATTTGGCCCTCCCCATTGGGAGAGCGGTGGGGGTGGGGGGTGTTGCCGCCAGCGGACTCGTCTCTAGGCCGAATGTGAGATCTAATACGGACTGGGACTGTTAAATTACAAGCAGGGTCAGACCGCTGCGACCGGGAGCCCTGGCCTTCCAGATCAGTTAATTCTCCACGGGCGGAGATTAGCAGGACATTAGCTACATGCCAGCGCGGTAAAAGAACTCCTACATCATCGCTCTACTGCGTTTTTCTTGCAAAAAATGCCTGGAAAAACTCTGTTAGCTTCGAGTTACCATGTAGCTAATGTTCTGAAGATCACCAACTGTGGAGTAGTGGCGGCCCAAGCTGGGCAAGCAGCCCAATTGGCTAAGCGGCCCACCGGGACAGTGCCAGAATGCCAGATAGGCCAGTCCACTCCTGCTCACAGCAATGACTAATCACAGAACAATGCTAGCTCAAGCTACTGCTATGAGCTACAGCTAACAACCTTTTTGTGAACACATCTTTAAACTAACTTATTTTAAGCCCGGGCCACACTGTATACTGGTAAGAAATTTATTATCAAACATACTCACTTAGATAACTATTCAGTCAGAGTTACATCATATAATCCATTCGTTTCACTGAAAAAGGAGCAGGCAGAACTAAGAACTTGTTTAGCCCGTCCAAGTAACACGGAATAAAAAATACATGTATCTGTATGTAAATGTAGTTTAAATGTCTTCCCACAATAGCTCATGTAGATTCTGTCTGAGTTATACCATAAAAATCCTGCAGTTCCACTAAAAGAGTATTTACCTGCAAAACAGCCTGTTAGCTCAGCTTTCTGCTGCTTCCTCTGTAGCAAGTTAGCAGTACACAGGTTAGCTCCAGTAGCTGCAAAGTCTCTGATGTTCCACAGGTTCCTGAAAAATTAGCAAACTTATTAACATAAACTGCACTAATTAATTCCATGAAACCAGTAATGAATATGTTAAGATGAGTTTTTAATACGTCTCTCTGGAACAATAGACCATTGTCCTGAGGCTAGCACAATGACTTGCTTAGCAGCTAGCTAGTGAGCTAGCGTCTGGTTAAAACCAACTTAAAAAGTGGCTTAACTTACAGATTAACTAAGAAAAGATCAAATATATTATCAATACTCACTTTAGATCCTCAGCCGACACCACAGACAGCAGAAATAATGTGTTTGGGGCTCAAAATTCATGTCGTTGCCCGAGGTAGAAAAAAATGTCTTGGAGGCTACATCATTTCCGGGTCACTGAACTGTCACTCAAGAGAAACCACTGTCCTATGGGAGAGGACTTCTCAGAAGTCCCACCCACCCGAAAGGGTTGTGTCAGAATTGCAACCAAAAACTCAGGGATTGCAAAGGAGAAAGCCAGACAGTGTAAGTGCAAATCTGGTAGTGAGAGCAAAGCTCTGAGCAGCGAGAACGAAACTAAGGAAACTGATAACAAAAACACATAGAGGCAAACAGAAAAAGGAAACATACTTTGTTACTCATTTTAAGAAGTTGATTCAGATAGTAAGTTTTACTTTTGAAACTTTTTTTTCCTTTAGTCAATATTTTTGTTCTGTCAGTTTCTTAATTTTTGTTTGACTGTCAAAGTGTTTTTCTTGATCATTTTAAGAATCTGATTCAGATCGTAATTTTTTCTTTTGAAACAAATGTTTTTTCTCTCAATGTCTTAAAATTTGTTTGCTCTCCAAAGTGTTTTTTCTTGATCCTATTGGCACAAATCTAATCCCATATTAACGCTACTGCTTAGTGCTGACCTGTGCTCAGTTCATATTGCATTGAGCTGTACAAGACAGATGGCTGTCTAAGCAAAGAAAAAAAACGTATTTCCTACATTATATCCTAGTACATGATAAGACAATCGCTTTTATGTATTTCTGAAAATTCACACATAATTCCTGAAAGGGGAAAACTCCAGACAGCAGCTTTAACCCTCTGGAGGCAGGCGTTGCAGATTTGCAACATTAAAACCTACCTACCTGGTTACTCCACATATGTATTTCATGAGCATTTCTTTACTCAGAAGTGCCCCTGAAGGACTTAGTTGTTCGTCCTTTTATCAAAACTTATTTTGAGCCTGAGAGGGTTAAGCAGTAATCAAGCTTAGAGTGTCACGTCCAAAATAGTCCAAGTGGAAACAACCCTTGAACCTGAAGACATTTCTATGATTGTCAGGGACACAAGCGTGATCAATAACCTGTGTGTGTCTGCTGTTTCTCCTGGATGATATGAAATTATGTATTTACTGTGTTTTCCAGCAGCAGATTGCAGAGACAGTACAAGGTACTGTGAGAAGGTCCGACAGCTGGAGCTCTGCCTGATGCCTCAGTTTAAGAACCGCTGCTGCTTCTCCTGCAGAAACACCTGAGAAGAGGAGACGGGGCAAGACACATGGGGAAATCTCAGGCAGGCTGGGGAAGGTTCCGTTGGGAATGTGAATCCTCCAAGCCTCCATCCAGGATCTCCAGTGATTTATCTCAGATGGGGTTAACTGGGAGGAATATTTTGTTGTAGCTGTCGTAGCTGTGGGTTTGAAACTGAGAGGGTTCTGACTAAAAGGAGGAATGTCTGTTTGGTTTTACTTCATTATTTTTTATAAAGTTTATGCAATCAGATTTTTTTTTTCAAATGAAGGCAACTCAAGATCCATATTTCAAGTGAGCAACAGAAACATGTGACGGGAGTGCTCATTTGACTCCACAAACTACAACATTTGTGAAAAAAATGTAGTTAAGAAAACCACTGGACAGATGTGTGTTGTTTTTGTTACATTAGTGTAAAAACTGTCTCCAGGCAGATTTGCGCTTTAATTAGCATTTTTAACACACCGTGGGTTTCATACAATGTGTTTGATGACAGCCATTGGGGAAGTAGATCACAGTCGGTGTTCCTGTTTAGGTTGATGCTCTGACAGCAGGACTGCAGGTGTTTAAACCAAAGTTCCTGGCAGAAAAGAAAGTTAAACAAAGAATTTCCATGCATGGGTTGCACTAAGGGAGGTGTGTGTGGGGGGGTGGGGTGGGTGGGTGGGGGGGGGGGGGTTCCATTGCACTCAAAACTCAACAAAGTCTTTGTTAAAAACATGGCTTGCAGAGTTATTTCTTAGAAATTAGTTTGTAAGTAATGTGCTTTGTCTTCCTTTTTTCCTTTAATTTTGGCCCAAATGTCCTTTTAAACCACTAAGGCCCAGTTCACATGGCAGGATTTTTGAATTGTCAGAACATGAGAGAACAAGAACATAGGTGGTGATAATTAAAAAAACATAGATTTACAGTTTTGACTGTGTACGACATCACGGCCAAAACTTCACACTACAGTGAACCAATTTCACACACGAACATTTCCCGGTCAGAAGGGAAATCTCCTGAAATTGCATGCGACTTTGAGTCCCGACATCCTTCTGAGCAGACCAGAGTGCTCTTAATGCAAAACACGTCAAAAACATGTGATAAGATTATCTTTGAAGCCGTTTGGATGAATTCAGGAACCCTTTTTTACTTATTTTTGAAAATGATCAGTAACTGACTTATTCATATAGCTACATAAAAACAGTCTTCACCCCCTATTTTCTGCATTAGTTTCTGATAGAAAAGAGACAGAAAAAATATCAGTTAAAAAAAAAACGTGACAGATCTATGTCACACTGTCACTTAACAATCATGGACTCACCCATCTTGACTCGGGAAGGCTGTTGTTGGTTTAGCGTCCAGGAAACAGCAGAGAAGGTATCAGCTAGCAAAAGCTAACTGTTAGCATTAGCAACTTCACAACATAGCAGGACTCTGTCAGGCGTGTTATTTGTGGAGATAAAACATCAGTGTTGCAAAATAAAATGGGGAGCCTAAGTCTCCTCCCTTTCCGGTCGGCTCATGGGTCCCTGGAAAAACGAAAAAATGCAACGGGGCTAAATAAGCTATTTTCTAATCTGCCTTGCCTTAGCCCCTGGTCACACCTATGTTATACTTCTGTATAAATGAAAAGTAATTATGGGTGTTTTGACCACGCCTGTCATGTACTTTGAGATTTATCAGCTTGTAAAGGTTTGTAATTAGCATGACTACAAATCAGACAGTGGCATGTCACCACAGAATCTCCTCTCCCTAGTGTAGCTGCTACTCACCATATGGCCAAATTTATGGTGGTTCTTTCCTCCGGAAGGAAGAATTTGAAGTTCGCTGAACTTACAGCCATTATCCCTCTGTTGTTCTCCATGTCTGGTTCGCATTTGTAGTCCTGGACTTATTTTCACACAAAACTTTAAATAAAGCCCCCCCCCCCCCCATTCGAAAATAAGTGATTTCTTGGTATCAAAATGTGTCTTTAAAATTCAAGGACATCATATGTGAAATCCATGGCACATAACAAGCGGAATTAGAAAATGGCATTTTTAGCCCCATTGACTTGCATTCGTTTTTGTTTTTTTTTCGTTCTTCTGCGGACCCATGGCCCAGAAATAGATGGCCATATCTTAGTCTCCCTATAGAGTCAGTGGTAGTGACATTTATGTTGGTCAATCAGAGGAGAGATGCCCAAATATCAGGAAATAAAGCTCAAAATTCTGGCCGAAGCTACTACCCCCTCCTGCTGACTTCATCCTCAAACAAGAGCATCTGAGCTTTTTCATCCCCAGAAAATGACTTTTGAGGCATTCATTCCAACTAGAGACCACTGCAAATGTATAAAAACTAACGTTGATCTTTGTTTGTCAGAAGGGATTGGGTCATAAATCAGCATGAATATCCTGCAGTGAGAACTGGGCCTAACATTACATTACAGACTATTGAAGCAGGATTTGCACTTTTAATTTCACAAAAACGGAAAAATTAATCACCTACAGTTACTTTTCAGGAAGCTACTGGCTCTTCATCATTGAGGTGTGGATATTTTTATTTAAGAGAATATCATTAACATTGTTCCCCTGCTGTGTACATATTTTTGTTTAGTAATTTTTACTATTTATTTTTGTGTGTTTCCATGTGTACAGTTGTGTATTACTAATTCTTGGTACTCAAGTAGGATTTTAAACTATAACTTCACTGCAAGCGGGGGCGTCCTCTGCTGGTGATATTGTGTTCTGCTTTATGCTAATTGTACTGGTTTGTCACAAAATAAAACAAAATGCATTCCTTTTTTAATAACCTGGACATTGTGTGTGTGTGTGTGTGTGTGTGTGTGTGTGTGTGTGTGTGTGTGTGTGTGTGTGTGTGTGTGTGTGTGTGTGTGTGTGTGTGTGTGTGTGTGTGTGTGTGTCGAAATAAAACCTCTATTTACAAGTTAAAATGTTTAGATTTTTCTGAATACGAGAGGAACAAAGTAAATCTTTCCAAAATATAGGTCAGAAGACTGCAACAAAAAGACCCCCCAGACATCCTTTGGAGTGGATGGAGGACAACGCTTGTCTAAATCTTTTATTGAACTGGCAGTCCTCACAAACTGTATGACTGCTCAAAAGGAGGTGAGAGCATCTATAGAGCTCGGGACGTCACGTGACTCAGAGAGTAGACGCCATGTTGGCAGGCAACAAAGGTAAACACAATGAATGGTATCAGTTTGGATTTTACTCCGTCTGAGTTTACACTTTAAAACTGAAGAAATCATTTTATATAGTCAGAAATTAAATGGATTCTTTGACCATTACCATGCCCCTTGGATACTTTTTAAAAATGCCCGAAGCTGTCGGAGCGAACCTGGCCAGGGAACGCCTTGGGATTCCCCCGGAGGAGCTGGCCCAAGTGGCTGGGGAGAGGGAAGTCTGGGCCTCTCGACTTAGACTACTGCCCCCGTGACCCGACTCCGGATAAGCGGATGAAAATAGATGGATGGATGGACAAATAACATAAATTTCCATGTAAGAAGTTTAAAGAGTGCTGTGCTGTTTGAATGTATCAACTGAATGCCAAGAGAAATCACTAGTTTGATTTTTTTTTCCGTGAATAAAATAAATATGTCAGGCAGGAGGTCTCAGGATCTGTCTGAGAGCTGTCTCGGTGAGACAGATAATAGCAATCCAAAGTGCTTTTTATGTGTGATCTGACAATTGATCAACCATTGCTTAAAAATGAAATACAGCTTAGCCGGTTAATTGCTGTGATCATAAAACACGTACACGGCAGCAAGCAGAACTCATAAGGCAACGTTTTACGTGATGTTCACTTAATGCTATGAGTAATAAGACAGAAAAAGCCACGCCAAAATAAGTTTAGGAAGCCCACTAAGAATCGTAATAAAAGTATTTAAAATAAATACCATACACAGTTGAGGAAACGTTGGTTTAAGCACCTGATATAAAGTGGTCGCTGCATAAGCGAAAACCTTTACTCTCGGGATCCCACAGTTTCATTTTAGCCTGGAGGCTAGCGCGTTTCATTGCGATGATCCAACATTTGCGGCATTCCGGATCTTGGGGAATCCTGTAGAAGGCTCATCCCTTATGTTGTCCGCATCTGTTCTGGCATCCTGGGGCACAACAGGAATCTACCATATTTCCTGTTTGATTGAGTTTTGTGACAATAACAAATAGCCCAGCTGCGGGCTTCTGCCTGCCAAGGTGGCGCCGTTTCGATTTGAACTGTTGCATGCTGGGAGAAGTGATGTCAACTCCCGAAGCTCTATAGCTCAGGAAGGAAACATGTTTATCACCAGTCAAGGCTGTATGACTACAATGACAAGAAATCTCTCCTGGAATTTGCCCAGAGGTCTGTGGGAAAATCTGAGGTCGGAGGAATTTTTGATTTGATGAGACAAAACCTGAGCTTTTTTGTCATCAGTCCACATTTGGCAAACGCCACAAACTTCACATCACCACAGACGCACCATTTACGTACATGGTGAAGCACGGTGGTCAGCGTCATGCTCTGAGGATGTTTAAGACACTTAGAAAGGTTTGTAAAGGTAGATAGAGAAGATGAATGCAGATACATGTCATCAAAGGGAAGGATAATGTGCTTCAATGTCAATGTAAATGAACAGTTTTACAATGAAAAATTGTGAAAAATGTCAGTGTAATATCATATTACCTTTACTTGGACAAAAGCACCAATTGTACATATTAAAGGTGTGGAACACTGAAAAACCATTTTAAAGGCATTGGCCTTTGATCTCAATGAAAATTGTAGAAAATTGGCCTTTACTACACTTTACCATATACAAAAAAAACTTGGTTCCATTTTTCATTTTGTTAAACAATTTTGTCAGAAATCATCAAAGAAAATCAAATTTATCTCCTCAACACTGAAGAACTGTGCTGCGCATATGTCACTCAAAGATGTCTCAGGCAGCAGCTGCTGCTAATGATACATGATTAGCTGTATTTTGTTCAACTTTGTGCTCCCAATGATTACGGAAAATTTGCGTTTACAGCTGCAGCAAAAAGTCTGAGCCATAGGTCAGAGACCTACTTGCATTTCTAGCTAACGTAGCAACATTAAAGTCATCAAACTGTTTGTGAGGAGAAACTTAGCTAGCTGACGCACAACACTAGCTTCCTGCAGTGACCATTAGCACAGCTAATGCACAGACTACAGGGGCTGGTCAGGGCGGTTCACTCAGAGATTAAATCTAAATGAATAGTCTACATATTTGTAAAGGATGGGTAGTTTACATCTTACTTATGAACCATAAAATGTGAGATTCCATAGAGATATGAAATATCAATCTGATGGATCTTTGAATATTTTAACCAGAAGATCAGAACTTTTTATTGCAGGGATTACGTGACACTTCGTATTAACTCCGAGGAAAGAGAGAGAGAGTCAGGCTCATAATAGTTAAGAAATTTATTTCTACACAATTTAAACAAGACTAACTTAAACACTCTGTGTACTGACGGACTAGGTGGAATGAGACATGAGAGGATGGTGTATGTGTGGAATGTGGTTATCAGAACCTTAGGATCCGGAGAAGCATTTAGTTCTGAGTGGGGGTGAATGTTTCGCTCTAAACTTTAGTAGGAGATTTATAACACACATGAAACGCCATCTGTCGGTCTACGTACCCCAGGGGAAGCCTCCGATTAGATCCAGAATGTCAAGGTTCTTTTGGACCCTCCTTGGAACCGAAGCCAGTAGGAAAGCAGCGGTGCCAAGCAAGTTATAACATTGTCATTTCACAGACTGATTGAACATTGGGCTCACATTAGTATTGGCAATAACAAACGTTGGTTGATTATGTATTTATCAAGAGAGTTCTTCGTCTTGAGCTGTAACAGAGGTTACGCAGTTCCGATGAGCAGAGTGCATGAAAGACCTTGGCCAATATCTCGTGTAGATTAGGCCTGTGTCAGAGACTTTATGCCTCTGCTTGAGCAGATGCAACAGATCATGACCTTTAGGTCAAAAACAGGACATTCATGACGCTGCATATTGCAATTATAAATCCATCTGGAAACGCCTTGGATTACTGCAAAAACTAGACGAGCTAACGAGCGGCTGCAGCACCAGCCTGTCAGAAGAAGTTATTCTGGTAAGCTATCGGTAAATTTTTTTCCAATGTTATATAAATATTTACACACACCAGTAAAATTGGCAGAACAGTGTTTTATTCTGTAGATTATTGGATTATATTGGCACAGCCTGATGAGGCTAGCAGAGTTAGCTGCTATGTTACCAGTAGGGACAAAACGTGTATGCAATAAAAGTAAATAAATGGTGCCGACTTTGGTTCTGAAGAAGATTGCTATCCTTTCACAGCGACGTTCCACGCCACTGATGCTTTTAGTGTAAAACTGGGGTGAGTTTTGAACATGTCCAGCTGTGCATTCACCTAGGGCCTAGGCTAACCGCTGTTCAATCTGACACCAGCTTGCGACTCACAGTCAGACCTGCTGAGCCGACACTATCTTTATAGTTTTTTCTGCATTGCAGCTCTGCCCACCAAATGTATCTCTAAACCAAAGAGTGCTGTGACTGGCCTGACCTTAAATTGCTAAAGGGCCAATGGTAGACCTGCTGAGGCTACAATGGAGTGTGGCCAGACTGACCTGCAGAGCAAAGACTAGATTTCTAGGTACTTCTAATGACCACTAGAAAACTGTTTTCGGTCTTTCATAGTACATCCCCCAAAATGGAGAAATTAAAGTGTAAGGAACACCATGGGTGGAAACTTTTTTCAACCAGACCTCATGTTAGAAATATACCTGAAAAAAGGCGTTACCTGGAGGACCGAGATGGTGGCACTGAGGCAACGATTGACAGCACCCACCTTTAACCCTCTCAGGCTGAAAATAAGTTTTGATGAAAGGACGAATAATTAAGTCCTTCAGGGGTACTTCTGAGTTAAAAAATGCTCATGAAATACATATGTGGAGTAACCAGGTACTGTAGGTAGGTTTTAATGTTGCAAATCTGCAACGCCTGCCTCCAGAGGGTTAAGTAAGTTGTACTAACCTGCCAAAATAATAATTACACTTGTCTACAGCACAATCAGACACTCGTCTATACAGGTTATCAGCAAAAAAAAAAAAAAAAGAAAAGTTGATTAGGTGTTACTTGCACTTTAATAAAACTGATAGCCAGTATTTTATTTTTTGTAGTCAGGAGAGTAGAGAAAAATGAATACTAATCTTTTGCACCAATTTTTTTCACAAAATAAAGCAAGTATTTTCAGTTTTTTTAGATTAAGGGCATTGTTTGTGTGCTTTTAAAAAATGTCAACAAGAAAAAGTGTTTAAACTGTCTGAAAATGTAAAAGTACCAGGAAAACTATTATAATTAAAGTCTTTCAACAAATTTAACTAACACTTGCTAAATAATAGCTCCACTAGACGTGACAGCTTGCTGGACCTGAAAAACAAGACAGGCAATGCTTGCTGTTTTGTTTGGTCAGTGACATAAGCACTTCCTCTTTTTTCTATTGAAAGTATTCAGTTCTCTCTCTCTTTCATTACTGAGAGAAAGATATCTTGAGAGTAGATCTCTGAGCAACTACATTTGAACCGAAGCACCCTGTGGATAATTTCCAGGTAAGGTATGGTGGAAATCGATGCCTGTAGCTCTTGCTTGACAGCATTGAGGGTGCTGCGTGTCTCTCTTGTGGATGAACTAGAAGGACAGATCGACTCTCTGCTGGAGGTTTTAGTGAGTCAGGAAGTGTTCACTCGGGATGACCGGGAGGACGTCTTGTGTCAGCCAGGACCCCGGGCCAGAGTAAGAAAGGTGTTGGACATCCTGGAGTGCAAAGGTGAAGAGGCGACAAAGATTTTCTTCACTGTTAGGAGTCATCATCAGAACCCCACCTCTCAGTGTCCATCTTCAGGTACACAATGATTCGATTTACATTAAAGCAACACTAAGCATTTTCCAGATTTTCAGCCCTACTGGTTGAAAGCAGAATTACAACTATCATAAAAAATACTGCTGCAGTCTGCTGTAGCTAAGGCTAACTAAAAGCTAACACTAACATAAGCCATGAAGCACAAAAGACCTACACTGTTGAACTGAAAACAGTAGTCCAGTAGCAACAAAACCAGGTCACCATCAGTCCGTGATTTCAGCTTAAACTAGTGTAGGCAGCGCCAATGTTCACTCTGGTTTTAGTTCTTTGTTTCATCCCCCCAAAAAATACTTTCTTAGAAAAAAAAGCTACATTATTTTTCTTTTGCTTTTTATTGACGGTCGGCAAACTGAAAATGTCAGCTTCTAGCTTTTTAACTTCCGCAGAGTCAACAGCTAACAGCTATTAAGCTCACCTACTCGTCCCACAAAACTGTTAACTGTGATTTCTGGTGAGCAGATGTCTGTCCAAGGTGAAGTTAGTAAAGTATTTACCTACAGAATCACTGAAACCCACTTTTAACCCTCTGGAGGCAGGAGTTGCAGATTTGCAATGTTAAAACCTACCTTCCTGGTTGCTCCACATACGTACCGTATTTCATGAGCATTTTTAACTCAGAAGTACCCCTGAAGGACTTAGTTGTTCGTCCTTTTATCAAAACTTATTTTGAGCCTGAGAGGGTTAAAAGAGTAACTTAAACTTCTTCTGGCTCTTGGAGAGTACAGACGCTTTTTTCTCCCCTACCTCCCTCCTTATCCCAAGGCTCTTTGTCCTGCCTGTGTACGATGCTTTCTGCATTTTTTCTGGAAACTGGAAATTACTAAAAATGGATCTGGTCAGTTGGTCTCTCAACGCGACTGACAATATTTTTTCAACGATGAGAACGGGAGAATGGGCTCCCGGAGGGCCCTCTGGGACAGAGCCAGCTGGGTATATCATGGACTCCTGGAAACAGTGGAACCTGATCTGCCTTTCTCAACTGTCTGTAGAGGATTCTGAAGATGTCTGGATATTCGTGGTGTTGGTGTCGGAATTCCTGCTGTTTGGCCTGAGCGGTTACCTGGCTTACCGGAAAATTAACGAGCTTTTGAGGAATATTGACTCAATCCCGGAGCTCAGGGATGGAATGCATCGTGCTGTAAACGCACAAACTCATATAATTGTCAAGATGAGTCGTAAGCTTGGAACTTTGGCTGAGATTCAGGCTCTGGCACAGAAGGTGGATACCATCAAGGAGCGAGTGGACGGATCAGAATGGATTGGGATTGATTAATTATGCGATTATTGGATCTAGAGGGGTTGTAGACCAACATAACAATAAGGCACAGAGGAAATTATCTCTGTCTGGCCCCAAAACAATTTTTTATCTGAATCTGGTGCCCTTAGAGCCTGTGAGGCTGAAGTGAAAACTCCCCCCTCAGAAGAAATGTGGAATGCTGTCGTCGCTATGGAATCCCTTTCTCCCTATCCCAGCCTGGGCGGGACTGTGACCGGTGAAGGCCGTGGAACTGTATCAAGGAGTCACTGTGCTCTCTAACCCATTATCTCTCCCTCCCCTGTCCAAACGCAGGTGATGAGCGCTGCTCCATGCGGCTGCACGCACTGAAGTGAAGAGAGTCCCAACACTACCTCCCCACCTAGTGGACACTTATGTGGTGTAATGTCTGAAATCTGTGTGCATATCTGTCTGAGGTGTTTTTTTTTTTTGCATAGCAAAGCTGCCCTCTCTGTGGAGGGTAACTCTGAAGTGCCTTTTTCCCTCCCCCTGACTCTATCCTCATATAAGCCCTCTTGATCTATTACGGTAGCGCGACTCGGGTTGCGAATGACCACAGTCACCAATTCTTGTCATGTGTCTTTGTCTATGCACCGTATGTATGTATGTATGTATGTATGTCTGATCTCAGAATTGCGTGTACTGAAATTCTAAATTCCTTCTGGGATTAATAAAGTATTTTTGAATTGAATTTAATTTATTTAAAGTGATATAAACTCTTTAGTGTTGCTTTAATACTTCACTACAAGATCTGGACTTTGTATTGAACAAGAGAACTACAACTATGTTTACAGGGTCAAAATAAATTCGACTCAAATGAAAAAAGTAATTAGCATGTTTTTTTATCCCTTGGTTGCAGATATTGGTTTGAAAGTAAAATGTAAACTCGCTTTAAAGAGGTGGACCTATTATGCACCTCTTTCTACAAGAGTTTTATTATCTCTTTTTGTACTCCTACCATTGAGTTATTCTACATTTGAATTAACAGCATAAACAAAACAATACATATCAGAATGTATACGGCTCATTTCTGTCAGCAGTCAAATATTCTATAAAATCCACTAATAGATCTGCAACTTTACTCTTCACATGGCTTGTAGTAGATCTATTCAAAATCTCGTTCCATTCATCTATTTAAAACTTTACTTTTGAGGTAAAGTTCTTCAAATAGTTCAATATGTTCTAAAAATATTTAACATCCAAGATATATAAATTATTAAAAAAATACTACTTTTTTATATGGGACCCTTGTTGATAGGTGAGCCTTTAGAAAACGTGTGTTCAAAGGGTTCCAGAGCAGAAACTAATAATCTGGAGGTGGTACACCAAAACCTGTAGCAGAATTCCATCTTTGTATCACAAACAGACCATTAAAAACATTATTAAGAAGTATCATTATTTTATTTTAACCTACTTGTTTTATGTGATTCACATTATTGTCAGTGATGGGATGGCAACATTTCACTGTAAAGAGTGTTTTTGGCAAAGAAAATAAAATTTATTAGACTTTATTTGCCTTTTGTGGCTGTCCAGGTCTTTTTGCTTCGGTTAGTTTTTTGTCAACAGTTATTTATTTGCTCACCTTTAAAGTCTCAACAGACTTGTTTAATGATTCCAGTCTGCTAAGGATCTTGGTCTAATGAAAGGTTTCATGTTACATCAAATGCAAGTCTAATGAATAATGAAGTACATGTAAAACACATTTTAAATTTAGAACTAAAGTTTCTTCATTAAAACAGGAATAAATGAAGCATTTATCTGTTGGTTCATTGGTTTTTGTATGTTTTCCTTACAGACTACAACAAAGTGCAGCAAAAGCACAAAGATGTCCTCAGACGCAGGAGTGAGAGCATGCTCTTCTACAACAGCAGACATGGAGAGAAAGTCCTTTTTTCTGAACATTACGTCAACCTTGTGTTAGTAGATGGACACCAAGGTTTGGAGAATAAAAGACATGAGGTGCTCACCTTTGGACAGAAGAGACTGTTGCTGCAACAGAAGTCTCCTCTGCAAAAGAAAATCACACCATCTCAGCTGTTTTCAAGACGAACTGGAAAACGCCCAGTAAAGAAAGTACTGGTGATGGGAGTGGCAGGGATCGGTAAAACCGTCCTGGTGCAAAAAATTCTTTTTGATTTCGGTGGAAGCAACGATTACCTTTCATTTGACTTTGTTCTTCATTTGAACTTTAGAGACTTGAATTTAATTGACAAACCTACAAGCCTTCGTGAGCTGGTCTTACGTAAAAACAGGCACCTTGTTAAAGAACTCGATAGGATTTTAGCTAACGACGACAAACTCCTGATCATTCTTGATGGCTTTGATGAGTTCAGACACTACAGGAGCTGCAACGCTGACGTATTTGTGACAGAGCCAGAAGAAGAAGCAGGGGTGACGGAGATTTTAGGGAGTTTACTACAGGGCGAGCTGCTACCCAACGCTTCTGTGATGCTAACAAGTCGACCCACAGCCATAAGCCATGTCCCCGTAGGTTGCATTGACCGCTTTGTCCTCATTGCTGGATTCTCCTTCACTGAAGCACAAGATTTCTTCTTACGATACTTTGAAGACACTGCCCTTGCTGACTGCATGTTCTCAGTGGTATCAGCGAACGAGCTGATGCTGACACTGTGCTACATACCTGCATTTTGCAACATTGTGTGCTGCATACTCAAAGAGAGCAAAATTCTTGGCGCAGAAAGCCCCAAGACCATGACAGATATCTATATGCAGTATCTGGTGGCCTTGCTTCACTCTCATACCCAAGTAAGAACTGAGGCTTGTCTGAAAGACCCAAAAGCAGGAAGCATCCAGCAGCTGTCTGAAGATGTGCTAAAGCTGGGTCGGCTTGCCTTCCAAAGGCTCATGGAGCATCAAACGCTGTTCTACGGCAGTGATCGGGATGTTGCAGCGTTGGAGGGATGCAGCCTCGTTAGTACCTTCCTCGACAAAACCATTGCACAAGAGCCTGGCTGCACTGAAGAGGTTTTCTCCTTTGCCCATCTCACCATTCAGGAGTTCTTTGCTGCACTATACTGTGCAGTGACAGATCAACCGCTACCTGATGCACTGCAGAGCAAAGCAAACCCAGCAGAACACACAAGCAATGGAGACTTGGACCTGTTCAGCCGTTTTCTGTCAGGAGTCCTCTCCGAACGCAATTCAAGTTTTCTTTCTAGAAAAGTGGGGCTGTGCTGCCTTAAGGAGAAAGTCGAACTTTATCGTCAGAAAGTCATCACCGATCTTAAGATGCTCTGCGAGAACGGAACCCATATTCTGAACAGCTTGCACTGTTTCTTTGAGCAGCAGGACCCTTCGTCTGCATCAAAAGTAGAACCAAATATGCTTAGAGTTAATGTAAGTGATGAAACTCTCTCGCCAATGGATTACAACGCTATCAAGTATTTCCTAAACCTCACAAAAGGAAGAATATTCGAGCTGGATCTAACTGGGACAGGAGTAAACGGCGACTCGCTTAGAGGTATCCAATCCCTTCTGCCTAGATGTGAGAGACTTTGGTGAGTTTCAGGTTAAATTTTAACTGAATTTAATTTAAATTTAGAAGTACAGATTTCATGTGTTTATTTTTTTTATCACACCTAAATGTAGTAATACTGCAAATAAAAGCCAGTATCACACCAAAAACCAGAGTAAATACAAACGTTTTCAAATATTAGTTTTATTTATTAAAACTAGAGAGAAAAATTTGAGGTTGCATCAATTACATTGATTGGTCCAAGTCCCAAAGCAGTCCCACATCATCCCACTACCACCACCATGTTTGACTGTTGGTTTTATGTTTTAATTGCAGTTTAACTTCGGATGGAAAGGGTCAAATGTCTTCAAGACAGTTTTATTTTTGCCTCAGAGTATTTTTCCAAAGGAAGAATTAGACACGCGATTTGATCAAGAAACACCAGAGCGCTCGGTAGGAACCGGAGCGGAACGATGTTACCGTATAAGAATGAAAGAAGGCCGGTTGATAAAAAGTTCATAGGAGATCAGCAAGGATATGAGCTCTGAGTTCGATTCCAGAAACAATGACTGAGCGGTAAGCTGACGAGGTTGGCCTCCTTATTTAGACTCGCCTGGGTGATGATGGGTGTGACGCGGTATGCATAGCAACCACTTTCCCTCTGGGATTAATAAATTAATTTTGAATTGAATTGAATTGAAAACTGTGTGTCCCGACAGTACCTCCGACAAAGGTCATGAATACTAACTGTGACTGTGACATAGAAGAGACTGCTGATTTGATCAGTTTTCCTTCTCTTTTAGCTAGCTAATGCAGGTAATGGGAGTTGAATACAATTTACACGTTTAGCATGCATGTGAAACTCAGAGAGACTGGTCATATTTCAAGTGTTACACAGTTTCCCAGTGACGCCTTTAAATAAACAAAACGAAACCACAGCACTGTATGTTCTGTTGCTTTTCCACTGACAAAACTACTATATTCTAAAGGCTTGGAGATAACAACTTGGACATGGATGCCATCCAGGTTATTGCCGATACTCTGAGAGTGTCAGACAATATCACTCACCTTGGGTAAGATCTCGATAAAATATCTGAACACGTTTCAGTTTCAAAATGAACCCAAAGCTTGAAGATTTCCTAAACAGAATGACAGACTAAAATATGTCCCAATGTGTTACTTTCTTTTCCTCATTTAGACTTGGATGGTCAAACATCGCTGATGAGGAACTGGAGGCTCTTTCCAATGCCATACGAGTGAAAAGAAGGCTTCAAGAGCTGTGGTAAGAACCTTCTGAGGGTGACGTGGCATTTCAAATGAACTCTTTAGGGAAGTGAGTCAAATGACAGAATTAGAAATCGGTTTAAGCTTTGGTAATTTTGTAACATTCTTTTTTCCGGTTTGATGAATTTCCACACCTCTTGATTGATGTAAACACTAAGTGGGGGATTTTCTAAACACGCTCTTCTCTCACAGGATGGAGGGGAACCGAGTCAGCTACAAAGGCCTGTTTTCACTCAGTGACTTGACTCCATTTCCACTGAAAAATATTGTGTAAGCTAATGGCTTTGTTTTAAATCAATTTAAATTCTAAATATTTGAACACTTTGTTATTGTAAAAAAATGCATTTAATTTTCATCTTCTTACAGAGCCATATGGAATGACTTGTATGACCCAGAGCCAGAGTCCCTGTGCAGCCAAGAGAGTATTGCTGTGAATTTTACAGATGACGAAATGTGGGACGAGTGGGGGAAATGGGTCCTTCAGCGCTGTGAGGTCAGCAGCAATGAAAAGTTGGTCACGGTACTGCGTAACGTTTGCAACACATCAATAGATTGCGTAGAGGATCAGCGGGCAAAGACTTTCTACAATCAGTTATCGCAACTCATCAAGAAAAGGATTGAGTGCTGCACTGAGGATGATTTGTGCAAGAAACTAAAAAAGTTTGAAAGTATTTTGAACATATGAAAATGTGTAGGAAATATATGAAATATGAAAAATAACAAATGTATGTAGTTTTGTTAATGTCAAATATCGCTTTTTGTGTAACTTCTTATGACTCTACACATACATTAGAATAAAATGGGAAGTATTAAATAAATGAATGAATGAAATAATTAATATGAAGGATGAAACAATGCAGCACAATAAAGAATGGCCCGTACGGAGATTGCAACCGCAATCTTGGCGCTATTAGCACCACACTCTAACCAACTGAACTAACCGGCCACGGTTTACGTCGTGAAATCGTTATGTATTGATCTTAGCTCATATTTCGTATTCTGCTGTCCGCTATATGATGCACATTATTTTGTTTATATTTTTTAAAAAATCGACTGGATAGAGTTCACGCAAATTATCAACAGAATCACTGAAACCGAAATGAATGATTGGTTTACCTTTATTTTGAAAAGACTTGCCGGATGTAGAAAAACGCTCATGACGACTTCAGGCTGCGACGGCTCTGAGCAGTCATTAGTGTGATGTTATGCAGCAAGCTGCGATTTAATAACATTTTTACGAATTTAAAAGCCAACTGGTCTTTTTATATATTCTTAAATTGGGTAAGTTTTCATTCTAGTTTTTCCTCTGGGTGATAAAGATCGGTTTTCCAGGTTTGGAGGTACTAACACCAGCGCAGCGTTTTTGAAACCAACCCGCGAATTCCCCTGTACTAACGTCGAATGTTGTTAACAAATGTTAGCCTTACGGACCGCGGAAACAGTCAGAAAATGTGTTATTTTCCTTCTAAATAATATATGTTTAGTGCCATTCTGGTTTTAAGTATATTATGCTTCACAATTCAAACAAACACGTCATAAAACGACAAAATACACTCACTGGCCACTTTATTAGTTACAACTGTCCAACTGCTCCTTAAGGAAAATTACTAATCAGCCAATCACATGGTGGCAACTTAATGCATGTGGGCATGTAGAGATCACGAAGACGATCCCCTGAGTTCAAACCGAGCATCAGAACCGGGAAGAAAGGTGATTGAAGTGATTTTGAACGTGGCATGGTTGTTGGTGTCCGATGGGCTGGTCTGATTATTACAGAAACAGCTGATCTTCTGGGATTGTCACACACAACCATCTCTAGAGTTTACAGAGAATGGTCCAGAAAAGGGAAAACATCCAGGGAGCAGCAGTTCTGTGGTTGTTGATGCCAGAGGTCAGAGGAGAATGTCCAGACTGGTTCAAGCTGATAGAAAGGCAACAGTAACTCAAATAACCACTCGTTACAACCGAGTTATGCAGAAGATGCGAACCTTGAGGCAGACGGGCCACAGCAGCAGAAGACCCCTCCACGGGTACCTCTCATGTCAGCGAAGAACTGGAAACTGAGGCTACAACTCACACAGGCTCACCAAAATTGGACTAAAGAAGATTGGAAAAATGTTGCCTGGCCTGAAGTGTCTCGACTGCTGCTGTAACATCCATCCTGCCTTGTATAAACAGTTAATGCTGGTGGTGGTGGTGTAATGGTGTGGGGAACATTTTCTTGACACACGTTGGGCCCCTGTGTACTAACTGATCATGTTGCAAGCCATAGCCTACCTGAGTATTGTTGCTGACCATGTCCATCCCTTTATGACCACAGTGCACCCATCTTCTCATGGCTACTTCCACAGGATAATGCACCATGTCACAAAGCTCCACTCATCTCAGACTGGTTCCTTGAACATGACAATCAGTTCACTGTACTCAAATGGCCTTCACAGTCACAAGATCTCAATCCAATAGAGCACCTCTGGGATGTGGTGGAACCTCTGAGGAATGTTTCCTGTACCTTGTTGAAGACTTAAGGCAGTTCTGAAGGCAAAGGGGTTCAACCCGGTGCTAGCAAGGTGCACCCAATAAAGTAGCCAGTGAGTGTATACATCTGGTGTAGTTCCTTAAATAGTGTTTAAATTCCGGACGCATTTTAAATAGGGTAAAAGTATAAATAATGCAAATAAATGACAATCTTTTTAATGGTAAGTTAATTAGATGAAGGTTTTTGTTTGGTTTTTAAAGGTTTTGTGCATCTGTGAACCGACAGCAAGTGGCAAAGAAATCAAGTACATTTCTTTTACAAAAAAAATCATGTTTTTTGGGTAGTTTATTAATTCTGGCAGGATCAAAATGATTTTGATGGCTTCATCTAGTCTCTACACTAGATTTAAATACTAAACAGATCTGGTGGCTTAAATCTGTTCTTATCGTCTTTTAAAATGTGATCTCTGCATATTTTAGGCTTTATATATATTCAGACAAACATCAGTTACACAACTTAGCATCCAGACAGCATATTGGTGAATAAACTGGATGTTTCTGGTGTTCAATATACAGTTATAAACTCTGAGAGTGGTAAATATTGTATGATCTGCCAAATGTAGTCAGGGCATGTCAATTGAAGTCTGTTTTTTTAGGAAAAGGGTCAAACTACTTATAGTCCAAATGTTGGCCCAAAAAGAGAGTGACACCTTTGTTTGTTTTCAGATTTGTATATTTTTGGTCTCTTAACCTTATTTAGTCGTTTAACTGTACTGTTTTTACTCTGAGGCGTTGTTGTTATATTACATATTATAACTACCTTCTCAGGGTTTCTATGGAAATAAGTGCTTTATGCTTTTTTTGTGCTACCCTGTATATTTATTGTTTTTATGTCATATTGTGAAACTTACTTGTATTATTTTATTCTATAATTATGTTATCTATACAAATAAAAAATCAATCTATCAACATAAAGATCATAATAAACAATCCAATGATCTACGCATCCCTAACTCACTCATTGTCACAAGACTCTACCCTAGAGTTTCTAGTACAGTTTGACTGTAAAAAGTCTTGACTCTCATTGTTTGTGTTCATGTAAACAGCTCTAGACATGTGCGTGCTGCTTGTGTGTTAGCAGCTTGTATTATCAGTAGGAGACCGTCGTTCATTCTGTCGCTTTGTGATTAAATTAGGTCTCGTTCCTCCCAAAAACTCCCGTAAACAGACAAGTCCACAGTCGTCTACTCTTTCTGAATGTGTCTGTGTTAAAGAGCTCCGCTGTCACCCCACAGCCAGGATGCTGAACACAGAGAAAGAAGCAGCTGATGCAGTAACATCTATGGAGAAGAACAAGGAGATGGAAAGAAAAAAAAGGTCTCGAGTTAAACAGCTGCTCAGCGACATAAAGAAGCAAGTGGAGTTTTGGTTTGGAGACGTCAACCTGTACAAGGACCGCTTTCTGAAAAAGCTCATCGATGAGTCCGACAAAGGATGTGAGTGTCTGAAAGTGCTAGTTCTAAATCTCAGATTGACTCGATCAGAGCTTGACGTGTTTTCCACTTCTTGTAGATGTTGATATTTCTGTTTTGACGAGCTTCAGTCGGATGAAGAAACTGACAACTGACACTAAACTGATTGCCAGAGCACTGAGAAACTCATCTGTAGTGGAGGTGATGACTTTTTTTATTCTCGTTACTCGTGACTGTCACTGTTTAAATGACATTCTAAACGCTTTTGTGTTTTAGCTCAACCTCGAAGGAACTAAAGTCAGACGTCAACATCCACTCGGAGACCCACCGAAAAACGTCGACGACCGCACAGTTTACGTGGTAACAACAAACGAAACTCTGCTTTAGTTGCTAATTTTTACATTGGGTCATTTCAGATGATGATATGTTTTTCTATTTATAAATCCCATTAAAAAAGATCACAGAGTCCATAAAACCCAGCATTTTTGGTGAATGTTCAGTCATCCGGGTCGTGGTAACCCAAAATGGTTCAAATGAAGGCAACTGGACTTCTTTGGTTTTTTGAAGACGTTTCGCTTCTCATCCAAGGAACTTTGTCAATTCTGACTGGAATACGGGAGAGTCAAGTTTATACGCTGTAGCTATCTGTTGTTATTTAACGAGCAGAAACTACTCTGAAAACCCCTCCTCTCGTCCCCCGATGAGTCATTAGCCTCTATTGTGAGGGAGTCGTGTTGATTAGATGCAGGAGGGTGTGACCTACAGTGGGGCAAAAAAGTATTTAGTCAGCCACCGATTGTGCAAGTTCTCCCACTTAAAATGATGACAGAGGTCAGTAATTTAGATCATAGGTACACTTCAACTGTGAGAGACAGAATGTGAGAAAAAAAATCCATGAATTCACATGGCAGGATTTTTAAAGAATTTATTTGTAAATCAGGGTAGAAAATAAGTATTTGGTCACTTCAAACAAGGAAAATCTCTGGCTCTCACAGACCTGTAACGTCTTCTTTAAGAAGCTTTTCTGTCCTCAACTCGTTACCTGTATTAATGGCACCTGTTTGAACTCATTATCTGTATAAAAGACACCTGTCCACAGCCTCAAACAGTCAGAGTCCAAACTCCACTATGGCCAAGACCAAAGAGCTTTCCAAGGACACCGGGAAAAGAATTGTAGACCTGCACCAGACTGGGAAGAGTGAATCTACAATAGGCAAGCAGCTTGGTGTGAAAAAATCAACTGTGGGAGCAATTATCAGAAAATGGAAGACATACAAGACCACTGATAATCTCCCTCGATCTGGGGCTCCACCCAAGATCTCATCCCGTGGGGTCAAAATGATCATGAGAACGGTGAGCAAGAATCCCCGAACCACACGGGGGGACCTGGTGAATGACCTGCAGAGAGCTGGGACCTCAGTAACACAGGTCAACATCAGTAACACACTACAACGGCAGGGAATCAAATCCTGCAGTGCCAGACGTGTTCCGCTGCTGAAGCCAGTGCATGTCCAGGCCCGTCTGAAGTTTGCCAGAGAGCACATGGATGATACAGCAGAGGATTGGGAGAATGTCATGTGGTCAGATGAAACCAAAGTAGAACTTTTTGGTATAAACTCAACTTGTCGTGTTTGGAGGAAGAAGAATACTGAGTTGCATCCCAAGAACACCATACCTACTGTGAAGCATGGGGGTGGGAACATCATGCTTTGGGGCTGTTTTTCTGCTAAGGGGACAGGACGACTGATCCGTGTTAAGGACAGAATGAATGGGGCCATGTATTGTGAGATTCTGAGCCAAAACCTCCTTCCATCAGTGAGAGCTTTGAAGATGAAACGTGGCTGGGTCTTCCAACACGACAATGATCCCAAACACACCGCCCGGGCAACAAAGGAGTGGCTCCGTAAGAAGCATTTGAAAGTCCTGGAGTGGCCTAGCCAGTCTCCAGACCTCAACCCCATAGAAAATCTGTGGAGGGAGTTGAAAGTCCGTGTTGCTCGGCGACAGCCCCAAAACATCACTGCTCTCGAGAAGATCTGCATGGAGGAATGGGCCAAAATACCAGCTACTGTGTGTGCAAACCTGGTAAAGACCTATAGTAATCGTTTGACCTCTGTTATTGCCAACAAAGGTTATGTTACAAAGTATTGAGTTGAATTTTTGTTATTGACCAAATACTTATTTTCCACCCTGATTTACAAATAAATTCTTTAAAAATCCTGCCATGTGAATTCATGGATTTTTTTTTTCACATTCTGTCTCTCACAGTTGAAGTGTACCTATGATGTAAATGACTGACCTCTGTCATCATTTTAAGTGGGAGAACTTGCACAATCGGTGGCTGACTAAATACTTTTTTGCCCCACTGTAGACTGAAACTAATAAATAAAAAACTAACAACATCCACTGCAGCAAATAACGTCTGCAAAGCATAACTAACAGCAGTTAGTAGAGTTGGACATGTTTGAATAGGAACACATTCGATTCCAATTACTTGTTTCAATTCTGGTTTCGAGTGATTTAGATTCTTTCAATAGACAGGGTCAAAAAACGTACAATGTTTTAAATGAGCCGGCTAACTATAGGTCTTACATGATGAAATAATCTGAACGTCCATCAATTTTATATACTTTGCAACATTTTCATATTTTTAAATCATTTTCTTGAGCCAGTATGCGCTAAAATGACCCATTACAGGGTTAATGAAATGTCACTCAGCCCTACCGCCCACTTTGGCCAGAATACTGCACTGCAACTTCAGAGTGGTGGGCCGTCTCCTGTTGCACTTAGTAGAGCGGAGCTGACATACTCACCGAACCCTGGGGATCCTTCAATGAGCCGCTGTTACAGTGGATGAGTATTTCCATGCAGCCTTTTAAATGCGTCCCTGAAGAGTAGTGTTACATTGTTCTACAAAATTTTTGTTTCAAGTCTTACTTTTTACTCTCTACGCTTCCAGAACGCATCAAGCTCAGCAGTTCACATCAGGGCAAACAGGAAGTCATACAAAAGCAGTGTAAAACATCTTGAAACTTTCACAATAAAAGTGGTGTGAAAATTTCCAGTTGCTTAAAGTACAAGTTACCCTGACTGGAGTCTTACTGCACTGCACCAGTGACCGACAATGACATCACACACACGTTGCTCGGATAGTGAAACAGCAGCAGGCTTCCTAGTATGAAGCATTTCTTCACCAGAGGAAGGAGAGGAAAACAGAAGGATTAATGGAGGAGGTGAAAGGCTCCGAGCCGTATCGTTTCGTATCTTCTTGTGAGAGGCCGAGACTCATCTGCGGTGTAATGCGGCCATGCTAGAAATACTGGCTAGCATAGATAATACCAGCTTAGCAATTAGCTATGACTGAAATTCAAATGTAGTTCTGACTTTTAACCTTAAGAGGGCACTACACTGGCAATTTTAGGCTCATTTTAAAAATTAGAAATAAGATGCAATAAAAACCACATTAAAGAACGTAAACCCTTGACCTGTTGGAACACGGGGCTGTCTTCCTGCTTGATGCTCATATACTGCTAGAATCAGGTGTAATTTTGCAGTTCTCCGATGACAATGCGGTACCAGCTTTGTGGAAGGCTTTCGCTGCCATTTCACATCTGAAACGCTCTTGGTGGGAAGGAATGCTTTGCTGAGCTCACAGGGAAAACGCATCTATTTCACTATGAAAGTTGATTGTTGCAACTCACTTCTCTTTGGTCTCTCAAGCAAGTCCCTCCATAAACTGCAGCTTCTCCAGAATGCTGCAGCACGTCATCTAGGACTCTATGATCTCACCACATCGCCCCCATCCTGCAACAACTTCATTGGCTGCCCATTAAACAGAGAATCAGTTTCAAAATTGTGCTCATCACATTCAAAGCTCTCCGTAACCTGGCTCCGCCCTACATTTCTGATCTCATTCACATCACCACTCCTGTCCGCGCACTCCGTTCCTCTGCTGCTCCTCAACTCTCGGCTCCCTCCGCTCACCTTGTCACCATGGGGAGTAGAGCATTCAGCCGCTCTGCTCCCCACCTCTGGAATCCTCTTCCCCCGATCTACGCACCATTCACTCTCGCATTTTTAAAATCAAAACTTAAAACCCACCTCTTCAAACAGGCTTTTACCACATAGTTTTAATACATTGTTTCAAATTTTAGCATCCTAGCGTTTCTACATATTTCTGTACTGTGTTTATCTTGTTTTATTATTTTTCCCCATCGTTGTAAAGTGTCCTTGGGTGTCTTGAAAGGCGCTGTCAAATAAAATGTATTATTATTATTATTATTATTGTTATTATTATTATGAGCTGCTTGTGCGTCTGCTGGAAAAGTCCGGTAAAGCTTTCACTGTTTCATACAGTTTTCAACACAGTAACACATGTCACATGGTGAGAAATGGCGCAGTTAGATTCATATTTAGACAGTCTCGTGGTTTTAAAGGGCATTACTGTTAAAGATGTATTATTTTTTATTATTTTTTAAGGAACTTCTGCCTAAAGATGTGAATCACAGCTGGATAGAACGAGTGTTTTCAAGGTGTGGGGTGGTTGTGTACGTTAGCATCCCGCGCTACAAGAGCACCGGTGACTCTAAAGGGTTTGCATTTGTGGAGTTTGAGAAGGAGGAACAAGCACAGAAAGCCATTGAGGTAACTTGGATGTTGTAATCGATTTAGACTCTGTAGTTTGTTTGTGAGAAACTCAGCCTCACAGGACTTTTCTGTCTTAGATGCTGAACAATCCACCAGAAGATGCTCCAAGGAAACCAGGGACTTTCCCCAAAACCCTCTGCAGGAAGCCGATTCCTTTTCCAGCTGACAATCCACCACCGCGTAGGTTTACAAATGGAAAACGCTTAACTAGGTTGTTAAACGCTGTTGGTGCGACACCTTGTTTTTATTGCACTGTAGGTGAAGAAGAGAAGAAGAAGAAAAAGAAGAAGAAAAAGAAGGACGTTACAGCAGAGCGAGCCCCAGCAGAGAAAATCCAAGAGATGGAAGCTGAACCATCTGAGGAGAAGAGGAAAGACCCAGCTGCCGGTTGTGATCCAGAGGTGGCCAGCACGCACAAAACGCCGCCTAAAGCATCAGAGAAAAAACGCCGCCGCTCACAAGCGGCAGAGGCTACAGAAGGTGACATACCGTCGAAGATTAGAAGAATAAGTGAAAGTGAGTCTGGACAGAAGGACAAAGATGGAGCGAAGATTGGTGAGTCACTAATCTGGTTTGATCAGGATCAAGGATCAAAGCCCACCAAAAGCAAAAATCTGGAGTTTTTACTCAGACGACACCATCTGGAGGTCGTAAATAAGTTTTGCACCTTTGAGCCCCTTTCCCTGTATCCATGATTACGACTGGAAGCAGCACCTCTCTTTCATGAATGCACAGCAGTAGCTGGCCACACATTGTGTTTACAATTATTATTCTCAAGTTATGATGTAGTGTATGTGAGACAGTCGGCACGCCAAGTTCCCGCTCCCTCAAAAGTTGCTACGTCAGCGGCTTTGTGCTGTGTGATCTAACTGCACATTTCCAACTGGCCTTTAATGGCTAGTGCAACTCCGTCCTTTCCAACAGATGCGTGTGCGGCGTGTAACGTAATAGTGGCGATTTACCTGTGAGCATCATTCCAACAGTGAGTGTTTCGGATGCAAAATGGGAGTGAAAGTGTTCCACCCCACTAGTCTTGGGATGTCACAAAATAGCGGTAGAATTGCAACACCACTCGTGATTTCAGAAGTTCATGCAGTAACTAGCAAGGAGAAAGTCCGCTGCATGCATCCAGAAAGGTCTGCGGTTTATTTCCTTCTCTAGTAACCTCAGCTACGGAGGTTTCACAGGACATGACATACTTTTTTTTTTACTAGTTAAGCTACTGGAAATGTACACCTGACTTTTCTTTAGAAAATCTGTGGACATTTTACAATGTTTTTGTGTTTAACTTCCTGTTTAGACTGACCTGAACTGCTGAGTTTGATGTGTTCTGGAAGCTTAGCACGTAGCTTAGCACGTAAAAAAAAAAAAACCTTAAACGTAATCAAACTTTCTTTTCGCGTCGGCGGCTAATTGTTCTATGCTAGAACCTTCCTTTTACTCACATTGTTTTATGCTAAGCATAACTTACTGCTTCCAGATCAGCAGAATGACTGAGCTTGTTAGCTACAAAATCCTTTTTCTCTCTAACCTAACTGGGAAATCTAACAGACAAAATGCTACTTAGGGGTGGAATATTCCCTTAAGTGTAAACCAGTGTTGGGAGTAATGCAGTACAAAAGTAATTAATTACTGTAATGCATTGCTTTTAGCTGTAATGTGGTAATGTAAGGCATTACAGGGAAAGAAAATGGTAATATTTACTCGGTACAACTGTCAGTAACGCGGTAATTACAATGCATTTTTAAACCCAGAATCAAGATGTGTTCCTTAAAAATTCAAATTGCGGGAAACCCGAAGAAAGATCCAGTATCTGCATATATGACGCCATTTATGGACTCAGCTTTGCGGGCAGAGAGGACGCAGCGGCAACGGCTCAAATACTCCAGCTGCGTCCTGCACGCGGCCGCTGCAACATTCACAAAATCGCTCCACTAAAACAAAATAATTCACTTGCGATCGTTCATATCAGCGCATGTTCTCTGGTATTTTGTGCTTTTCTGACGTGCTTTGCCTCAGCTGAGTTCATAATCTGTGCCCCGGTGATTTCAACTCATTACTGCTGGAGCGCCGCGCATGTGTAGATCCCTTTGGCTGATTAGTTAGAAAGTAGGAAGTCTAGGAAACAGTTTTTCTGGAAGACGGAGAAAACATGCAGCATGCAGGAAGGTTAGAGAGAGAAAGGGCAGGAAATTATTCAAATAAAATCAAGAAAACAAAACAAAGTGCTTGAAAAGAAAAAAGTAGGTAGATTTATCCCCAATAGACATTTTACCAGTGAAAAGCAATAATATATAAGCATTTAATATTTATACATGTGATAGAATCAGATCACCCCAGAAGTCAGTCCCACATCCAGGGCCGTATCAAGGCATTTGGGGACCAAGGCAAATATAGGCTTGGAGCCCCCACCACCCCACTCCCTGCTCAGTTAATATAAGACGGCAGCGTGTTGAGAGTACAGATTGTTGTTGCTTTTATTTAATAAATCATTTTAAAGCACTGTTATTATATGTGACTGTTTTTAACAGCAACCCTAGCTCAGACACCACATCACCTTCCACATATATGTCATGAGCTCACTGGGCGTCACATTACCAGATTCATATTGAAGTTGTTTTGGTGAAAGTAACTTAAATTAATGCAAAAGTAGTGTAATGCCTTACATTTTTAAATCAGTAATATTGTAATTTAATGAATTTCTTTAAAATGAGGGTAACAAGTTATAAATAATGCATTACAGTTTTGAAGTAACTTGCCCAACACTGGTGTAAACAATAAAAAAGCGGCAGATTTAAAAAAAATGTTATCGTTTTAAAAAAATAATGCCAGCAAATGGCCGAAATAGAAAAAATGGCATATATCGGTCGGCCTCTAGCGAAAACAACAGTCTGCATCGGTCTAGGAATGTTCTCAAATTTTCATGTATGCTCAGTGATTGATCTCTGTTCATGTGTTTACCTTTTGACCACATCCTTTCTAATAACCTGAATGATTAAAAGTCCATTAACCAGCCTAATTCATTCACTTTGGGATCGAACACTGGGAGTACAGAGGGTGGTTACGTCAGAATACACACCTACTTGAACAAAGTGATGATGCATGTGTTGAAAGTGTTGTGAAACCACGCGGTTTGTTGCAGTAATGATGCCCCCCCGCCCACAGAATCACACGCTGAAAGTGACACTGAGGAAAATGTTGAGAAAGGGAAAGACAACGGTGATGACTCAGCCGTGAAAGCGAGGCGGAAGAGAAAAAAGAAGAACAAAGAGAAGCTGAAAATCGGAGAGGAAGTCATCCCGCTCCGCGTTCTGTCCAAGTATGCTCCTTAATAACAAACACAGACTGATAAATTACCAAAAAATGTGTCACTTTGAGGATCTGTTTTCCTCTTTTTGTCATGAAGGAAAGAGTGGCTGCAGCTGAAAGAGGAGTACTTGGTTCTGCAAAAACGCAGCATGGCATCGCTGAAGAAGACCATCAGGAAGATTAACGAAGACAAAACCCAAGATGGAAACGGTGAATTTACTCAGATTAGTTCAGATGTACTCAAACTATTGTGTCACACACAAGAAAATGTTTAAAACCCCATACAATAATAATTTACCACTTATTGTACTGACATCATAGTTTCCGAACCCAAGGTATTTGAGGCGTTTGTTGAAAATAACTGTTCTTTTTCTGGTGTTTTTGTTCGATTACATTTTCCAAACAGTTTCTTTTCATGTTTGATTCTAGCTGAGCTGGAAAGCAAAAGTGAAAAAGAAACCAACCATGGCCCTCAGTTCATCAGCGGTGTGATCTTGAAGATCACTGACAGCAAACCGTTACCATCCAGGAAGATCATCAAGGTTCAGACTCGGCTTTTTGCTCATTTGTTCCAGTTTTCATGTTCGATGAGAACAATTTAAAGCTAAATTAAACGTGCACACTCTGTGTGGTTTGTGTGTGTTTAGGATACTCTGTCCAAGATATCTCCAGTGGCTTATGTTGACATCTTGGAAGGAGATGTTGAGGGTCACATCCGTTTTCACACCTCAGAGGAAGCAAAAGCGGTCTGCAACGTTAAAGAGGACCTGCAGAAGGAGCACAGCTGGAAACTACAGATTCTTAAAGGTACAAGATTCATTTATAGAGGTTGAATAAAACAACCAATAACTGTTTTATTCGGGGTGTGTACGGGCAAGAATCAGGTGATGCCATATCACAATTCAGGGAGCACAAAACTATATATTGTGATATTAAAAGCCAGATCATATTTGCAGTTTTTAAGACTGAATTTAACTGGAAAACTCAGGCCAGACGCTTCAGATGCATTGTGTTCTTACGGGATCTCAATGTTCTGTCAGAATGAAGGAAGTAAAAACTGCTGCCACTTAGCAGTCGGAGTTTAATTGCGCCACACAAAAGAAATACAAAACTTAGGGATGGACAATATATCGGCATCAATATCGGTGTCGGCCAGTGTTAGTAGGGATGAGCGAGTACACCACTAACTGTATCTGTATCTGTTCAACCAACTAAATTATCTGTATCTGTACTCGGAATGGGCGTGGCATAACCCAGACGTGGGCGTGGCTTAACCGGAAGTGGGTGTGGTTTACATCAATCTATTATTTTAAGTCTGAAATTGATATGAATTGATCAGAAGTTGCTATGTGTATTGTTTATTTGAAAACTATTTACAGAGCAGCCTCAGAATAGAGATGAAATATTTGATCACAATAGTAAAGAAACTATTACAGAACAAGTGTTTCAATCAAATCAGAACATTAATATTTAAGTGCATGAATTAATACATCTGAATTCATGCAGTAGGAACTAGGAAATATGAAATGCTAGAACCAGACACAACTTTATATATATTTTTTTATTTTAACTTGATTAAACAGATTTTTTTCTTAACATTCTTGGCATTTTGCCCCACACAAAGTTAAACAAAACAATGTTGATTGAAGTGTGTGTGTGTGTGTGTGTGTGTGTGTGTGTCTGTGTCTGTGTGTGTCTGTCTGTGTGTGTGTGTCTGTGTGTGTGTGAGAGAGAGAGAGAGAGAGGGAGAGAGTTAAAAAAATAAAAAACCCGACCGGAGAGGAGGTAGAGACGCAGCACGTCAGCTCTGTCTTGTCAAATGTACCATGTACAGTAAGTTACAAAAAAAGTAACTTTAAATATTCAACCGAAAAAGAGGCGAGCTGAAGAAAATCTAAGGAAAACTGAAGAAACGTGAGCAACAGTGAAGCAAGCACAGCGAGATCCGTTACTGTCTGTGTGTGTGCGTGGATGAACAGGACGGACTGAGCTCCCGGCCGGCTAGAGTTTTGTGTGTAGGGAGGGGCGGGCGCTCTATGTGACTGGCCAATCACAGAGCGTGAAGACAGTCAGTTACCCAATGAGGATTTTCCTTCAGCACAATTACAGATATTTACAAGGTTTACTCGTGTCATGCTCGTATTCATCAAAAATGCTTTATCCGTACCGGATACTCGTCTGAAACGAGTATCCGGCTCATCCCTAAGTGTTAGTCATTTTTTTAACACATCGGTATCGGTTTGTTGAGTAACACCAGGCTGATTTGCTTGCCTGTTTCAGAGGGTGAGGGGTAGGGCTGGGTCGACGGACACGTAAAATACGTCGACGCAAATAATTTGCTCAAAACAAACATGGCGGCAGCGAGTAGTGGCAACATGAGTGGGGCAGTCGACTTAAATCACTTAACCCAAACTCACAGTTCAAAAGTATGGGACTATTTTAACAGAAAAGGAAGCGATTCAGTTGTTTATTTTATTTTTTTTTTTTTTCAACTTTATTTTCATTTATTGACATTAAAATAAAAGTACAAAACTAAATTGCTAAAAGCCAAAATGAAAAAGGGGACAGAAAGAAGAAAAACTTTTGCTATCTGCCCCTTTTAACTAAAATAACATTAATACAAATGAAACAAACATATGATTCTTAAAAAAATATGAACAATATAGTTTCTGGACCGGTTGGCTGACACAACCTCAACCCATGAATTGAAAAAAGAGAGAAAACAAGTTACACAGAAAGAAGCATAAAGTTATAGACTTATATACTTACATATATACACACATGCATACATAGACTTGTGCTCCCCCCCTTTTTTTTCTTTCATCCCCTCAACCCCCTCCCCTCACACATTTATGTAACAGATCTATATAAGTTAATCATTTCATTTTTTCTCTTTTTTGAAAGTCAATATTGTTTTTGCATTCTTGATTTCAGTATTTAATTTATTTCACATTTTAACTCCATAAATGGACACACAATGTTCCTTTATGAGTATCTTATGTCTAGGTATATTCATGTCCTTTTAAATCATATCTGCCATGTCTTTTTGTAAATCTATTGATTAAACCTGCAGGTGTGTACTCTTTGTTTGCAGTATACATACATTTTAAAATATTGTAGTCCACCAGATCATAGAATTTTGGTGTTTTTAATTTTACAAAGAATGGATTGGACGGATCTCTGTAGTTGCTCCTTGTTTGCCGGCTTTGTAAAATGGAAATTGCTTATCATAAAAGCACGACGGCTATGCACCAGCACCTCAAACGACGGCATCCAGGAGCAGCTTCTGCAAACGAAAAACACAGTAAGTTTTCAACTTTTTTATTAACACTGTTTTACACACCCACATCCAAACACCCCCACGTAGCCATGCACTCACTCACACACACACCGAGATAAACACAACCCCTGGAACTCACTAACCCTCATTTAAGCTGCTTAGCGGTAACACAGTGCAGCAGCTGTTACCTGTTTTCTTGGTTTTTATTTGTGGCTCATGATGGCTAAACGAGTCAGATCGCACACAGGCTGATTATGAGAACGAGAGCTGAAAATGTGAGAGAGCGCTAATTGGCCGTGGTAAAAATGTTAAAGACAATGTACCACCTGCTAAACGTAGCCATCAAGTACTCAAGTTTCATGCTTCATCCTGTTTGAACGTTTTTTAATACTTCATGCTCCTCCAGCTTGTTAATCTTATAGATCTAAGTTGCACCATCTAATGACTAGAAAAATGTGCAGCATTTTGTGTGAACGACCTCTTTTTAAACAAATCTTACAGATTAAATATTTTGAGAAAACACTGAAATACAGATCTTCAAATTATTATTTTGATATTATGATTTCTACATAAATATTTTTGTAATAATTTTAATTCATCTGTGTGTTGTCTGTGTGATTTATGTTTTCAGGAACAAACAGAAAAGTCTGGAGGACTACTGTCAGAAAAGAACACCCTGCACCCCCCAGGAGGTGGCTGTACTTACCGAGAGCGTCCCATCTATGATTCTGAAAGACATGAGGCCACTTGATGTGGTTGAGGGGGAAGGATTCAAAGAAATGCTGACCACTTTTCAACCAGGTTACACTCTGCCTTCTAGGCACCATTTTACAAGCATGATGGAGAGAAAGCATCAAACTTCAGTTGAGAAACTAGGGAACAAACTAAAAAAGGCGTCATCCAAAATCTCCCTTACCACTGATGCTTGGACACGTCTGGTCACAGAGTCCTACTTAGAAGTAACCTGTCATTTCATTAATGACAGTTGGGATCTTCTCTCCTTCAATTTAACAACACTCCCAGTTGAAGAGCGCCACACTGGGAAAAATGTGTCACTCACTGCTGCTGCCCTCGATCCACGTTTTCGTAAACTGAAATTCCTTTCTCCAGAGGATGCTCTGAAACTGCAAGTAAGAGTACAGAAGGATGCACTTGACCTCAAAAGGGAGCAGAGATCACAGCTATAGCAGGCAACTGTGGGTCAGGAAGCCTCAGCAAGTCCCCCAATAAAGAAGAGGTCTGTGTTGTACACTTTGTTGGGTACAGATTCTGAGGAGGAAGATTGTAATGAAAACATTGACCAGGGTGGGGACAGAGAAAATGAGACGGTGAGGAAAGAAGTACTGTTGTACTTTGGGGAAGCCCATATTCCAAGGGATAATGACCCCCTTACATGGTGGAAGAATAATGCAACAAGATTCCCCACACTGACTGTTTTAGCCAAATCATATCTGGCTGTACCTGCCACATCGGCACCGTCTGAAAGGCTTTTTCTGTTGCTGGAAACGTCGTCACCAAAAAAGGGCAAGCCTGACTGCTGAGCATGTAGAAATGCTAACATTCCTCCACTCCCAACGCATAACCGCTTCATGTGATGAATATAATTGGACACACACACACACACACACACACACACACACACACACACACACCACACCACACACACAGAGAAACAAGGGAGAAGGCAGCAAAATGGATGTTATTTAGTTAAAGAGCACTTTTTTTGCAGAGAGCAAAGTGAATGTTACATTTTTTTGTTCAAAGACACCATTGCTGCTGTTTATATTTTATTTATTTTTTGTTGTTTTGCTCAACATTTAATTTCTTGTTAAATGCTACCTCTAAAATAAGATTTTACTGCTACTTTATTTTGGATTTTTTTAAATTAAAACTACAATGCATAACTACTTCATGTGATGAACTAAAGAAAAGGCTAAATAGATTTTATTTTTAAAATGAACAACACTTTTTAGCAGAAAGCCAAGTGAGTGTTAGATTTTGTTTGTTAAAAGGCGCCATTGCTGCTATTTATATTTTATTTATTTGTTGTTATACATTTTCCTTGATCTATATGACGTTTGCACAACATTTAATTTTTTTGTGAAATGTTATCTCTAACATAAGATTGTACTACTATTACAACAACTTTATTTTCAAAATTGTTTTTATTAAAATGTGTTCAAATGAAGAAATTTGCATTTATTTCATGAGATACATAAATTAGTAATAATCAAATTGCTGTACAAGTCAAATAATGGGGAAATAATCAAAAATTGAATCTAATCAAATTGACAGATAAATCACTAGATTAATCGATGCATCAAAAAAATAATTGCTAGATCAGTCGATTACAAAAATAATCGTTTTGCCCAGCCCTAGTGAGGGGGTGATGTGTAATTGTTTAGTCGTGTGAACAGTGATCATCTCAGAAGCGTAAACGTGTGTTTACATAATAATGTAAATTCAGCTTTAATAATTTTCATTTTATACAGAATTGCTGATTTTAGATGCATTCATGTCAGTATATCGGTATCAGCAAATATCGGTTATCGGCCATAAAAGTGATCTTAATATCGGATATCGGTATTGGCCCTAAAATTTCAAATCTGTGCATCACTAACAAAAATCAATGCGCTGCTTTTAGATGCTGGTTTAGTATAATAATACAACATATTGTGATTTTTCTGTGTATTATTATTTTCTTACTTCCCTGTTTTTTAATACAAGTTCTGTGCTGTCATCTACTCCCAAACTTTTCAGCTTCAGACACACAAAATGGCACTTGTCAAGACATGCAGTCCCAGATTTCTCTGATTCAACAACTCACACTTCCTTTAAAGGCTAAGTCATTCAGGGCGTAATTAAACCTCAAAGGAAAAAGAAAGAAAGTTAATCTTTACTTATATACATTTATGACAATTTAGTTAATTTTTGTAACTATTAAATGGCTTCAGCAATTGTTTTTCAGTTTTATTTCTGGAAGTCATCCCGGAACCCCCTGTGTAGCTCTTGCTGGCCCATAGTGGGGTCCCGACCCCACCTCGGGGCATCACTGCTCTAGTCTTGTGTTTTTCTAGTGTTGTCTAGAGCAGCTTCATTCAGAGTTTATTTTCTGTTAAAGGTGACCACGAGCAGCGGTACTGGCAGAAGATCTTGGTGGACCGTCAGGTCAAGCTGAATCGACCCAGAGAAAAGAAGCGAGGCACAGAAAAGGTGAAATCACACTTTCAAGTGTTTTATTGGAGAAGCAAACTTGAAAAATTCCAGGTTAATTTTGATTATTTTGGAATTGCATTCATTAAATATCGACTCGAAATTTCATTTCCCTTTTCTTTTAGTACTTCTTAGGACAACAGAATACAAATATTAGGCATTTAAGTTATTTGTTTTATCCTTTTTTGTAAAATACCAAACCTCATTAGGTAAAATCAGAAGTTTCCCCAGTTTTCTTTAAGAAACTTTTTTGTGAGGAAAATTATTTGAATTTCCTCTTAACAGTTCCAGTATTTGTTCATGATTTAACTTGAATATAATTTTTTCTTTTGTCACATCTAATTTTATATTGCTCTTTCACACTTCAGCTCATATCCAAAGCTGAAAAACTCATTATCTCACAAGCCAAGGAGGCACATAAGCACATCCATTTTGACGAGGACTGACACCCGCTGGAGACACACTTCAGATGATCAGCTGATGAAGAAGGGTGGTCCAATGGTCCAGATGATCCCTCAAGTGTTATTTTTTTCTGATTAGTGCGGGAGCCCCCAAGGTAACCCTAGGGTGCTGCTATGCATATATTGTGTTTTGTTTACCTGAGAGTGGCTTTTACGTGGAGGTCCTGTGTAGATGTAAATATGCTTTTGAAGGTTACTCCAATCAAGAGATGATTAGTACATCTGTTCTGAATAAAATATAATCTTGTGATTACAGCGTTGGTGGGTTTACATTTACAACATTGGAGGTAGATTTAACACACTGTCACTCATATCTTTACACTCTCTTTCATTTCCTGTTTCCTCTTCAGACCAATTAATTGCTTTTCTAGGAAAACACGAAAATTTTCAAGTGATGCCAATCATTTGTAGATTATTAGTGAAGTAGAGACTATTCAACGCAGCAAATGACCTGTACGGCTTTTATTTAATATCACACCTTCTAGAGTCCTGCAACCCCCCAAGCCACTTTACAACACAGTCCATGCACCATCCACTCGCACACGCTCTGATGGCCCACTGACAGAGGTGAGGCTGCCGTACACAGGCGCCACCGGCCCCTCTGACCACCACCAACAGGCAACATGAGTTAAGTGTCTTGCCCAAAGACAGCAACAGACTCCGCGAGGATCAAACCTGCAACTTTCAGGTTACAGTGATGACGCTTAGCTCATCTTTCACCGTACCTAAAATCTGATGCCAAATATGTAGATTTCATTGGCGTAAAAGACATCAGTGTTTACAACCTTAACTGGATTCTGTTCTGATTTTAATTCATTAATAGGAAATAAAATAAAATCTCACTTTTTTTTTCCTTTGGTGCTGCCGTGTGCATCTCTTCTGCCTCTATAAACACTTCAAACATGAAAAGAAACCGTCCATCAGGATTGGAGTCTTTGGTGAGTCCATGGAGCTTAGTTTCAAGGGATTAGTCTTCAGACAGAAACAAGACTTCTTTGTCTCCATTAAGATGTTCCGCAGCACTTTTCACGTGAAAGACTCTACCATTCATTCTTTGTCTCATCTGTAGATGCTTTCTAAAACATGTTGATCTAGCCTTGGTTTGCCTGATCTGGCATCTTCAGTCTCTTGATTGTTCTTCAATAGTAACCATACTAAGTCCTTGTTGAACATTTAGAGTCCAACTGGGTGTCTCCTACTCTGTTCCCAAGCTTAGAAATTCTTTAGAAGTGAGACAAAATAATGAATACCGATGAAAATTATACTTTGGCTTTCTCATTTCACTCACTTAAGAGGTTCTGACTTTTGTAATAATATTGCATTTAATTGATAGGCACCTTTGAAAACCCGAGGTCACCTCACAAAAGCATGTTAACACAAGAAAAATAAGAATAAGACCATTTAAACTAGAATTACAAAAAATAGTGTAAATTACAGAGTGGAGAGTTTGTTGACTAGAAGCCAGTTTGAACTGGTGGGTTTTGAGTTAGGTTTAAATGAGAGGAGGGAGTCTGTGTTTCAGATGTCAGGAGGAAGTAAGTTACAGAGCCGAGGAGCAGAGCGACTCAAAGCTCTGTTTCCAGCAGTGGTGAGACGGGCAGTAGGAACCACAAGGTGAATGGCAGAGGAAGACCTGAGGGAGCAAGATGGGACAGCAACATGGATGAGATCAGAGAGGTAAGGAGGGGCGAGACAATAGATAGATCTGTAGGTGAGGAGCAGGATTTTGAAGGAGATTCTGTGTTTGGTAGGCAGCCAGTGGAGACGCTGATGTGATCTCTGGAGGGTTTTGGAGTGATGGTCCGTGCAGCAGCATTTGCTACGCTGGGGTAGTGTTTGCAGATACTGCAGGTAGATGTTAGGATCAAATCAAGTGGATTAACTTGGTAAAAAGTACAAGGTGACCTACTGGGAATAAGCCGTGAACATAGGAAGTTTTTCTAAATCAATTTATTTGTCCGCTAGATGGCGACAACACAAAGGAAAACTCATCTGTGAGTCAGAAGAAACACCGTTGACCTAAACTCATTACACTTTAGGTACAGCTTAGCTTAGTGCCTGCTTAGAACAGCTTTCATTCTTGTCATATATCCAATAAGGTGTTGGGAACATCTGTCAGAGGTGGGACATGGTTGGCCTCAATAGGTTGTGGGGTTTAAACCAAGTTCAGGCGGTACTACCGTCCTTAAAGTCCTATAAATCTGGCAATCATCGGTGTTTCTCTCATCATCAGATATTATAACAGAATATATAACATTGCACATAAACAAATGTGTGAAACTACTTTTTGAAGATCGATCTCCTGTTCTCCAACCTGTCCAACCAGGGCCAAATTAAGACTTTGTTGTACCCTGGGCAACAATATTCAAGGGCCCCATCATCACGACCCAAGGATCACCATAATATGGTCACATACAGAATATTTTACTGTAATATGCAGTAAATATACTCAATACTTGAATGCCTGACATCATGTAACCCACTCAGGGTAACCTTTGACCCACCTTGTTTGGACTGACCAAAGAGGAGAGGGTCTTAACTTGAGGCCCTCTCTTCATTGGTCAGTCTGCATGAGACTGACTCTCAACTGACGTTCAAAGTCATAGGCAGCGAAGCGTCTCTGTGCAGTGCAAAAGCCCGGGTGGACAGTTTGTTGAATATAGGGTGACCATATTTCCATTTCTAAAAAAGAGGACAGGGGATCTGTGCCTATGATGTCACACTATGGCAACACCACACAAACCATGTTGGGACCCATTTTTTGTAAGAATTAAATTAATATCAGATTCTGCCAATAAATGGGCTTTAAAACAATTCATATGTAAATATTTTGCATATTTATTGCAAAATCTCATTTTTCTGCTTTAGTGCTGCAACAAGGTTTTATTAATAAGAAATTATTTGTTTTACTGCAGCATCGGTAAGCTTCCTGTGCACAGATTATTAAAGATGCTTGTTTCAGCTGTGAGATTAGACGATAGGATCAATGGAAAAATAAGTTGTCACACACAAATAGTGGCTTTCAAATGGTTTTGTTACTTTTTGCAAGTTTAGAAAAGAAGCAGATGAGACAGCATGTCTGATAATTTAGTTTTTCATCTGATAATATTAGAACATGTCAGTGATGTCTGAGGGGCTTTTATAAACACTGTATAACTAATACTCCTGGAGAGGGCATGAATTACACAGAGGCTTCTGGGGAGCCCAGTTATGGGGGGGGGGGGGGTTGCCTTGGCCCCCAAAATGTCTTGAAACGGCCCTGGGTGTGTGACTGAGTGTTGAAGGTGATCTGAATTGTATCAGATGTATAATTATTACATGTGTGTAACTTATTGTTTTTTACTGGTAAAAACGTGTAGTGGAGATAAATCTACCTACATTTTACTTTTTGTTTTGTTTTCTTGTTTGTATTTAACTATTTTCCTGTCCTGTCTGTCTCTCATCTTCCTGCATCTCCTCTAAACTCTCCACAAAAACTGCTGCCTGGATTCTTACTTTTTCACCTCATCAGTAACTTTTGAGCAGATCAAAGATCTCCTGACCGCAAAGCGCAGAGCGCGTTTCGATGCTGCGTCAGTGAGGTGAAATCACCGCAGCACAGGTGATGAGCTCCGCAGTAGCAGAGCGCTTCAGGCACAGATAAGACAGAAAATAGAGAACATGTGCGGACATGAACGATCGTGTGCTAATTATAGTTTTTTGGTTGCGCCACTTTGAGAATGGACCGTGCGCTGGAAGCAGCTGCCTAGAGCGCTGCGCAACAACGCGCTGTGCCGCTCTCTGTGCTCTCTGCCCAGAAGAGTCCATAAATGATGTAATATAGGTAGAAAACTTTTTTCCGGCTCCCCTGGATGTGTAGGATATCCAGCTCCCCCATAATTCGATCCCTGCTCCTGGATGAAAAGCCGGACATTTTCATCAAGAACCCCCAGTCCGGACGCCCCGGACAGAGAGTGAAAAGTGGACATGTCAGGGGAAAACAGGGTGTACGGTCACCCTAGTTTAACATAAAGCGGGAGATTACAGATACAGTATTTTGCTCGTGCCCTTGCTGCCCTGGGCCCTTTAGAGTTTGTGGGCCCTGGGCAATTGCCCAGTTGCCCATATGGTTAATCCGGCCCTGGTCCAACAGACATGGCACATGTGTGATGTGACCAGCTGATACACAATGCTGACTGAAGTGCTGTGCTGTGGACCATGCACCAAAGCTGCAAGAGCGGGAGAAGGAGGCACTGTAGGTCGGTGGGACTCTGCTATTTTGTCCCAGCGAGGCTCACCAAGCTGCTTTTCCTGCTATGCTCGTGAGCAACTGAGTGTGGTCTCAATCTGTCCTGCTCAGAGGTTTTGTCTGAAAGGAAACTAAACATCATTTTTACTCTAACAGGTGCGGGGTGGGTTAAAATGTGGTGCGGCTTTTCCATGACAGAACCAAGAGCAACACCATGTTCAAGGTGTGGAGACAGGTCCAAGAGAACCATGGAGGAGCCTCTTCACCAACCTGGGCCTGGGGGGGGGGGGGGGGGGGGGATAACTTCTGCTTTCTGCCACAAGTTTGCGCTCACACCTCCTCCCAGAGAGCTGCTCTCAGCAAGGCTCCTTCACCACACCACACATTTCTTCATGTGACCAGACAGCCAATCACTGTCCCCACGTTACAGCCTGGATCACAGACTCCTATGTGAGTGAGTGAGTGAGTGAGTGAGTGAGTGAGTGAGTGAGTGAGTGAGTGAGTGAGTGAGTGAGTGAAACTGTAACGGTTGTGGCCTCCTCCACCATGGTCTCTGAAACCCCTGGGCACATAGGCAGGCCTATTCCGCCTAAGGTGATGCCTGTTCAGTCCAGCTCCAGCTCTGAGTCTTCCCAGCCTCCTCAACCTTCTGCCAGTCAGGAGTCTTCTGAGGCCATTGTTATTTTGTCTACTTCCTCATCATGGTCCAGGGCCACACTTTACAAGTGGAAACAGAAGACACATTCAAAAGACCCTCTGAAAAATGATGTCCACATCAAAAGGTCTCACAGGCATTAGCTTCAAAGGTTTTGTTTGGTTTGTGTTCATTATTGACTCCAAAGACGGTACTGTTGCTCTCTAGTGTCTGTGTTGCATTTGGCTCAACATTTTAGGCCTACAGAGCTTGTTTGATTTATACCGATGCTGATCCACTGCATCTTCAGTTTTGTTAGATATTTTTTATACACATTTGAAGCATGTGATTGTTTTATTTTTTTCTTTTGCACAAACAGATGCTGATGTTTGTCAGCTGTAGTGTTATTTTTGTATTTGTATACTCTTAATGCTTGCAACTATAATTTATAATTTAGATGTGTAGTTATTTACTATTACCAATTTTCAACAAAACATTTGTTACAGTAAAGCGAACACTCTGATATGTCATAAATTGTCATCTAGACTTAAATTGCCATTTGTACGAATTACAGCAGATGCACCCGCTTGAGGGCAAGTATGGCAGATTTGGACCTTCTGTGTGTGAACACAGTGCTTTGAGAGAGAGCATGTAAAATAAAATGAATGCTCTCTTAAAAAGTAAAATATGTTTTGAATTAAAGGCAGGATATTACGCCCACATCTGATGAAAGTTCTCATTTCATTAAAACATCATCTAGGACTGTTTAGAAATGAAACACTGATAAAAAAAACAAAAACAAATCCACGCGTAATCATAAACTGATAGGTAAGAGCAGTTGATTTTCTTGGCCACCAGATGGCACCAGACACTGATTCTACCTTGAAGAATAAATGACAAAACAAATACTTTTTCATGACTTTTTTTTAAAGGTTTAATTGAAATTAAGCTCAAAGTATTGCTCAGTATTACACAAGACTGCATCTGACTGAAGTTTTACCATAAAATCCCAGAAACCCATGAAATGTAGGCCTGATTGGGAAACATTAAAATGATGGACTGCAATATTTTAAGGGCACGCCCACGGCACTGTGGTTGGCAATTTTTCTACTAATTTCAATACTGCTTTCAGCAGTAGCTGTTCACCATGTACAGTCCTGAATCAATTAAGAAAAGGTCAGACATTGCCTCATATGCATCTATTTTTTTTCAGTTTCAGTAGACAAAAAGGATTTCCCATCATGCACTCTTTCTCTGTTAGTTTTATTTATATTCTTTATATATACAATATATATATATATGTATATGTATGTATAAGAGGCAACACCCACAACATACATGGATATTACATTGTGTTTGACAATTTCTCAGCTCATTTTAATACTGCTTTCAGCATAAATAATTAACAACAACCTTGAATCAATTAGGAAAAGTGCAAATAGTGGCTTAGATTTCTCTTTTTTAACTAATTTCCCATCATGCACCTTCCTTAAAGGGCGAGTAACACGTGAATCAACTTTTTGTTGTTGCTGATAACCTGTATAGATGAGTGTCTAATAGTGCTGTAGACAAGTGTTCTCACAAGTTTAGCAGCTTAGTGCAATGAATTAGAATTTTGTCAAATAATTGTATTTTGGTTTGAATGTGAAAGAGTTTCTAAAACACAGCACAAGCAGCGACTATCCCGGCATGCGTTGCAGTCGAGGACGCAATGCATTGACATCTAAGGCCCAATCATACCCGTCTCCTTCCTGGCATTGTTCAATTGCACCTTCCTGCCCAGGAGTGCGAGTGCATCGGGTGTCCTGATTCTTAAGTGCCCCTTTTGCACCCTTGATCTGCAATCTGCCCAAGTCCACATCAATGCACACTTTGGGCAAGGGTACTACCCACAATCCATTGCTGCATGGGCATTTTGAGAAAAAGGCTGAGCAATGCTCAAGTGCTTTTTTATGAAAATATGCATTTTCAAATGAAAGAAGTTTATTTTAGGACGACTAACTATATTTATTCATGCTCTGAATGTTTTAGACAAAGATTTAATGTGGACAGTAGTGAATGTCAAATTAGTCAAGTAACTGTTTGAAAGTTGTTAAAGATTTATTTAAAAAGCAGCACAAACAGCGAGCAGCATCCTGGCATGCTTCACGTTTGATCATATAATGCTCCCTGTCCCAATTCAGCGCGCTTGTGTTCTCGCTCGAAGCCTTACTGCGCACCTCCTAAATGTGCACTTCACATGGGTGCAGTGCCAGTATTGGAATTGGACCTAAGGCTGCAAAGAATGAAAGGCACACTTGGCAGTTTTGCTTGTCTTTAGCACCCCTTAGTGTCTGTTTAGTAGAACAAAAAGAAAAACGTACCTCCTTGCTGTGCGTTCGTCTTTTTAACACCTTAATCTAACTGCTGAAATGTCTCCCCAGCCTTCATTAGTGTCTACAGGAGTGGCTCATCACTAAATTAAAGAAATCAGCTGTGTTCATGATCTAAAACATGCTGGAACCAGACTGCAGTGCCAGGTATGTCAGCTAATTATTTTTTTCTAAGTCCAACAGACCGGACAAGCACGCTGAAGTCGCAAATGCGGTATTCTGGCCACAGAGGGTGGGGGGTCTGAGAGACATTTCATTGGCCTAGTGGTAGAGTGTCTGCCCTGTGACTGAGAGATTTGGGTTCAAAACTGGTCCAGTCATAGCGAAGACTTTAAAAATAAGACCCGGTGCCTCCCCGCTTGACCACTGGCTTTGAGGGGCGCGGTTGGGAGATTAAACCACCAAATTGTTTCTGAGCCCAGCCACAGCTGCAGCTCACCGCTCTCCATGGGGATGGGTTAAATGCGGAGATGTAATTTCACCAGTGTGATGTCGACTATGGGACTTTAACTTAACCATGTAAAATGCCATTTCAGCACTAGCCTCAAGAAAATGTTTTTAAAAAATTGAAAAAGTTGCTTAGTATGGCTTTAAAGTTGGAATGTAGAGCACAAAGACCATAACGACATCTAGTGTGTGGAGGTTGTAGTTGCAACAATAGAACAAGGTTTCCAGCCGTCGGGACACCAGATCAGGGGAGGTTCTGGAGGGTTAGGGTTAGTTGTAAAATAAAATATGGACTGGAATCGGATGTGTGCGGTTTATATGTCGCTCCACACTGCACAGCTCTAGAAGGATCTCCTGTCAGGGGGCTCACGGAAACTCGTTTACACCAGAGAGGCGCTCTGACTAATCCTTAATAACACGATAGAAAAGATCTTTTATCTAGCGCATCTCAAGGAAAATCATGAGGTTCTTCACAAGGAAAAAAAATAATAAAATTTACTTAAAAATAATATTATTTAATTAAAAAGATTAAAAATATAAAAATGGGAAGATGAAAAATTGTGATTACAAAAAACCAAGTCCATTCTGCAATGTCAGATTCCCATCGGGTGTTTTAGCACCAATTAGGTGATGTGTAGATGAGGAACGTGTGTGGATGACTGACCTTTGGTGTTGCGGTTCCCCGTACTACCACTACATGCTGTTCCTACACATGGTCTGGCGTTTTCTTATATTTAGGAACATTTCCACACACAGGTACGAAATGATGAATACCACACAATGCATACATTAGTTATGCACACGATACGTGCACAGATCTGTGCACAAGTGCGGTTGATACATGAGGCCCCTGGTTTGGTGACGATACGTGACGTATTTTTTTTTTGGTCAATCTGCTGTGCTTCAACTAAACGCACTCTGGTTCTAGATCTTCTATGGTTGCTCCTCATCTGAGATGGATAACGACATCTCCTGGACTCAGAAGCAGCTGCTTGACTTGCCGAGCCCGTCATTTTCCACAGAGGCAGCCTGCCTCACTGTGCTGAGCGGTCTGTTTAGTGACCTGCAATGATGCCCTCTTAATGCTGGTAGATTTAAACATAAACCCAGTGTTGTTGCCTTCAAAATAAATATTTGATCATTTTTTAAAATTAAAATATAACTTTTAACCCTTTGATGCATAATGGTCACTACAGTGGACAGGTACTCAAAATTGTTATTTCTTTATTTTTGCTATTAAGCACAGCTGTTGAAGAATTTATTGCATGTGAGCCCCTCCATTTGGACTTCAGTAAGTCAAGCCACCATATTTCATGTTCAGAATGCACGTTGTCCACTGAGATGGACATGTAATAAAGTATTTGTAAATTAACAAAATGGTACAAAAAATATTTGTTGAAATTTGTTTCATTCACACCTAAAGATGAATGAAAATAATTGTTTAAAAAATCATGGTTGAAGATTTCATAATTCATGCATCAGAGGGTTAAAGGAAATACTGTATCTTCATTTTGAACACCTCTAAACGCTCCGTGGAGGTGTTATATTAAAAATATGTAGGTTTTTAATTAAATTGTTTCATGTTCAACCTTTAAATCTAAGACAGGTGCACCATAGGATGAGATTTGTGATAAAAAATTAAAGTGATTCTTCTTTGACAAATGCTAAAAAAAATCCTCTTTTCCTTTTGATGATAGAGGAGGAAGTACTGGTGTATGTCGGGAGGTGGCGCCAAAGCACAGTAAATTTATTGTGACGCTCCTGGAGACGTCCTCAGGCTCCAAAAACACTAGAGAATGCACTTTTCTGTCTGCATTTCCTTTTTAGAGCATTTAGGAAACTATGAGGGTTTCATGATATTTTTATGAACAATTTTCTAATCGTAGTCATTAGAGTGGGAGACAGAAGGCTGTTGATCATAGGTGCCGCACGTCACAGATTATTGTTATAAAACGTGTGCACCTTTATTGTTCTCTCTCTGACATTTTTAATTATTCCCAACAAGAAGACGCAATGATCAAAACCCTCCTAGGTGTGCTATTATGTCTTCTATAATATGAATTTCGTCCGTGTAAGCCTTGGAAGCACGTGCGTTTTAGGTTGTTTCGCGTTTTTACGCAGTGCCAGAAACAAAACCCATCCAGAAAAGACTAATTCAGCTTGAGGGTGAAAAATCACAAAACAAAAACACTGTTTGTGGTTTTCCAGAGCACTTACAGTGAACCGTGCTTTGCTGAATGCAGCTTTAATCCCTTAAAAGCCTCCTGACGCAGCTCCATGAGCGGAGAAATGATCAGAGCTGCGCTTTGGAGGATGGCAGCCGCCCATTGGAGCGCAGAAAGGGCCTCATAAATTATGCTAATTAGTCATTTCAGATTGGGGGCGTGGCTTATGCCTTAATGAGCGGAGTTGGAGTGTGTTTGGAGAGGTATCTGCTCGGAGGTCTCCTGTCTGACTTTCTGTGGAATCTCCTGCGTAACGACAGCTTCCTGTGCAGCGGACCCACCGTGCAACAAGTTTACAGGCGAGGACCGGAGCACCTCCACCCCCACCTTTGGACTCCCCAGCGCGCCGTCAGACAGGTTGTTTTGGCTCCACTCCTCCTGTCACTGTAAGCAGCACGCAGCGTGACTGCGCACCAGATGCGTCTCGCTCCCGGCTGCGTGTCTTGTTCAGAGTTCAACTGGAGATATCCCGAAGACAAGAAGAAGAGCGTGAAGTGCGTCATTTTTAACACTTAATAATATTAGTAGTACTGATTATTTTTTAATAAACATGGAGAAAGAAGAAGCGGCTTCTCTGAAGGAGCGACACCGCCGCGCAAAAGTGCTGAACATAATCTCGTCCCTGTGCTCTCTGGCGTCCATCGCGTTCTGCGTCCATCTGAGCATCAACGCGGCCCAAATCCAGAACCGAGTTGTGGATCTGGAGAGCGGGACGGGAGAGCGCACCATCATCCCCGGACCCGGCTACCCCATGGAGGATTTCAACGCTCTGATTCAGCAGAGAGTGGATGAGCTGCTGGCTCAGGTCAAACATTGGTTTATTGTTTCTAGGATGAAATATTTTAATATAAATACATGTAACTAAAAGTGATTTTATTTTGAAATTCCAGCACTCGTATGAGAATTTCGTCAAGATCCGGACTGCAAGACAAACCTCACCTGAATGCAACTGCCCCCCAGGTAAGAGAAGACAATTTCTCTTCATCTGATCTGAGAGCGAACCAGAACTTTGTGGTCCAGTGTTCTGGTGTTGGTGACACCTGGCCGTTTGTGTTGATGGATAGCTGTGAGAGCCTCATAAACAGAAACAAACAGCTCAGTCTATTCATAGAGGTGCTGAACGCAGGCTGTGTGACTTGTGATGCTGCCTCTTCTTGTCCACTTAGTAAAAAACACCAATGAAGGCACAAAACCTGAGATTCACATTTTTCACCAGTAGATGGAAACATTTGTTCCTTTTGCTGGTGTTGGGCAGCTTTCTAATAGTTTTGGCATGAGCTCAAAGTTGGGTTTGTCTGCTCCAGACTGTCAGGCTTTGCTGAAGGAATTTCACATAATTCTCAGGAAAAATGAAAATATAAATATATTTTAGCCATTAAAGCATAAAAAAGTTACCTGTTTGGGTTTTTTGGTGAAGAATTTAAAGATAAGGCCAGATGGTTTAGTCGAATTAAATTCTAATTCTTTTAATGGTTGAAATGGTATGTTGATGGCAGACAAATATTTTTAATTTTAAAGTCAGATGGCTCATAAACAGTTCCATATTCAACCCTACTATCATAACTAACATTTAACTGTTTTTAAGTGCTCTACGCTTTAACAGGATTAGCACATTCTTCAGAAACCATTTGCTCTCTGGTGGAAAATCTTAAGACTGTAAGCAGCTAACCAAACTTTTATCACTTATTTTATATGTTTACATAGTAACATTTCATATGAAATGTGTTTCATTTCATATGAAATGTTATCATTTAAAAATTTCAACAAGAAAATTTCCGAATGCAGGTTTTCCTGCAGGAGTGCATGTGAATGTACATGTGAATTGAAGCAACACAATTTTTAACACTTTAAGCTGTTGCTTTGAAAATGGTTTCAGTGGTTCTTGAGCCAGGAACCTGAACGGCTTCACATGGAACAGCACTGTGTAGCTCTCTGCTAACTAGAAACTGCACCAAACCACTTTGACACTAGCTTGAGGTGGAGTTTACTGTGCCAGTAGCTAAAATAATGGCTAGCAGTTAGCTTTTTCAGTTTGCTGAATGTCAATGAAAAGTGTAAAAAGAGGATTTTTTTTTAAGTTGGTGTCATGGTGGAGCTTAGAAGTAAGAGGAAGAGAGTAATGCATTTGGAGGCCTTAAAGGAACCTTCTGTTGCAACTTACTTGGCTGTGAACAGCTGATTTATATGTATTTTTCTGAACTGGTTAAACTTTGAAAAAGATGGATCAGTTTGCACCAAAACTGTGCTAACAGACAAAAAAAACCTCAACTGACAGAAAGCATCTGCAGGTTTTCAGTTTTCTTATACACGGTGAGACTCAACCATACATACGGTGTTGACACAAACCTGACCTCTCTGTTGGGCGTAAACAAAGAGATTAAATCTGTCAGACATGTAAGGCAGCAAAATGTATAATCACACTTCCTGCAATCAGTCACAAAACAAGATGAGAGAGGGTGAAAATCTTGAACTCACGAGTCCTCTTGCTTTTGCATTTGGTTTTATACACTGCAAATGACTCATCTGCTGAGTGGGCATGACTGAATTAATGAGCCAGAAGTGGTGGAAGTATTAACATTAATTAGACCCATCACAATCATACTACTCTCTATACTTAATTATACATTTGCTCTTAATATTTCCATCCACAGCTTTGCAAAGGGCAGCAATGAAACAACGAACACAACTTGGATCAAATGAAGCACAACAATGCTAAAACCAAGCTGGAACACGTTGTGCTCTCACATCATCAAACCTCTTTTTTATGTAGGGCTGCACAATAGAAAAAGCATGTGATTGCAGTATTAACAGCGAATATTCTTTATAACCAAAACAGGAGTTTTTGTGTGTTTTAATATCTCACCTTCTATCATGTAAACTTGACATGGTTATAAATACTTTTAACCTACAGCAGATGAATACACTGAACATGAAATGTAATTATTGCAATCCTTAACAGTTTTGATCTGACACATATTCAACATACTGTGATGTATCATTTAAAAAAACAATTTTATATAACAAATTTACTATGGAAGAGGATTAGGGTCACTGAAGAAAAGAAAAAGAATTCGGACTAATCTCGAAATTATTTTTCTTTTCTTTTGTTTTCCAGTGGTCCTAACCCTCTTATATATATATATATATATATATATATATATATATATATATATATATATATATATATATATATATATATATAACTGACACCATGATATTTCATGATTAAACAATCCTAAAAAAACAAGTAGCTGTAACTCATAATTAGCTCCCTTAAGCTAGCATGTGCGAGTAATGCTAGCACATTGCAATCAGGCTAGGCTAGTGGCATTGTAAGTCACCAGATCTTTTGTTTTAGCTATGTTAACAGACTAAAGCTTTAAATCACCACAACCAATCACATCCTTAGCATTACTTGCTTTCTTTTATGCACAAAAGTGATCAGGATTAGCATGTGTCACATCTAAAGCAGTCCGGGCAGAAACAACCCTCTGCTGTCAACCTTTCCATTAGGTAAACTGTGATGATTGTGCATTGGCTTGGCTTTGGCAGATCGCCAACACATTCAACTCCTTTAGGATTATGTTACTATTTGCACATTTCCCATTTACCACTGAATGTATTTTAAGGAAACCCTTATTAAACAATCAGTTGATGTAAATTTACAATCAAAGACCTTTTAGAGTCAACCTAACTCAATATATTTGCTGTTGATAACCAACCTTACAAGCAGAGGAATGGCTATAACCATGAAAATTTAGATATAAGCAAAAAATTTGGGTTGTTGCTAGCAGAGACTCATTCACAACCAACAATGTGACCAAAATGGCTAAAACTCAATTTCCCAGCATCAAACTCTGGCATGGGATATGGTCGATGAGCCCCAAAAGAATGCTTGGTCTTTTAATCATCTCATTTAACATCCAGCATACTTTATGGAAGCTGAGAGGTTTATTTTTATATAAAAGTAAATAATTTTACACTCTAAGACTTCTGAATGGGTTTAGTCTGAGAGACAGCCTGTGGCTGTTTTTCCCTGTGAGTGAGGACAACAATGTGCTTTTCACAGTCTTCACTTTATTACTGTCAGGAAAGATGGAGAGGTTGTAAAGGCAGGGCAGTGGTCCATTGCTTGGGGGATGTTTTGCTTCCAAATCAGAGGAAGTTTGAAATGTTTTTACCCTGTAAAAAATATATAATTTGAATCTAAACTTTCTTTCATTTATTGTAATTTTAGTTATTTCCTGGTGTTATTTATCATGGTAGAGTTGTTTCTGTCCGGAAAAGCTTTGGTTGTGACTAAAACGTAGACAACAATAACTCTTGTGTTCAACATGCTTGTGTTTAGCATTACCTGCATGTTAGAACGAGCACGATACAGCTTTTTAATTTAAAATTTTTTTTTGCAGCTGTAGACTTCACTAAAGGCACAGGAAAATTATAACTCCCCAAAGTCACACAAAGGAAGTTATTTTCTCCCTCAGATGATTCTGCTCCTGAACAGCCAGAAACATCTTGTTTAAGGTCCAAACTTTACTTTCTTCAAAATACTACATCACAACATAAGACAGGCAGGACATTCTCTTTTCCACTTAACAGTGAGAGTAGACTGAAGTCCATTTCACACTTGCTTTGCTTTCCATTTACTGCCGGTAAAGAAACGTGTTTCTGGTCCTTTTTCTGAGACACACTGCTGAGGAAAGCTAACTACGATTGACCTTGCAATTTTAAAAAGCAGAAATATGAACACAGTAGTTGTTGAAATAAGTTAAATTTAAAGAAAATTTTACTAAAATAAGCTTTCCTCCTCAATGGTTTATTTTACATTAACTATCTAACCACCAGGTTATTAATGTAGCGCAATAAATTCAATACTCTGACTTATCAATTGTTTTTAGGGGTGTGTATTGGCAAGAAACTGGTGATACAATACACAGTACAAGGGAGAAGATACAAAATATATCGTAACATAGGGGAGAATATACAATATACAGTGGTGTGAAAAACTATTTGCCCCCTTCCTGATTTCTTATTCTTTTGCATGTTTGTCACACAAAATGTTTGTGATCATCAAACACATTTAACCATTAGTCAAAGATAACACAAGTAAACACAAAATACAGTTTTGAAATGATGGTTTTTATTATTTAGGGAGAGAACAAAATCCAAACCTACATTGCCCTGTGTGAAAAAGTAATTGCCCCTGAACCTAATAACTGGCTGGGCCTCCCTTAGCAGCAATAACTGCAATCAAGTGTTTGCGATAACTTGCTACGAGTCTTTTACAGCACTCTGGAGGAATTTTGGCCCACTCATCTTTGCAGAATTGTTGTAATTCAGCTTTATTTGAGGGTTTTCTAGCATGAACCACCTTTTTAAGGTCATGCCATAACATCTCAATAGGATTCAGGTCAGGACTTTGACTAGGCCACTCCAGAGTCTTCATTTTGTTGTTCCTCAGCTATTCAGAGGTGGATTTGCTGGTGTGTTTTGGGTCATTGTCTTGCTGCAGCACCCAAGATCGCTTCAGCTTTAGTTGACAAACAGATTGCCGGACATTCTCCTTCAGGATGTTTTGGTAGACAGTAGAATTCATGGTTCCATTTATCACAGCAAGCCTTCCAGTTCCTGAAGCAGCAAAACAACCCCAGACCATCACACCACCACCACCATATTTACTGTTGGTATGATGTTCTTTGTCTGAAATGCTGTGTTACTTCTACGCCAGATGTAACGGGACATTTGCCTTCCAAAAAGTTCAACTTTTGTCTCATCAGTCCACAAGGTATTTTCCCAAAAGTCTTGGCAACCATTGAGATGTTTCTTAGCAAAACTGAGACGAGCCCTAATGTTCTTTTTGCTTAACAGTGGTTTGTGTCTTGGAAATCTGCCATGCAGGCCATTTTTGCCCAGTCTCTTTCTTATGGTGGAGTCGTGAACACTGACCTTAATTGAGGCAA